TTTTTCACTAGATGCGCGATCTATTGCGCCAATCAGGCCATGTAAATGTAGACACTGATTTGCAACTGAGATTGCTAATGCTATTGCCAATGAGTGGAATAAAAAATATTGCATCCAGATTTTGTGACTTAAAACTTGTCATTCATCTTGCTGGAATCCACGTGCCGATCTGAACCTCACGTAGGTCTAAATAAGTAGATCCCAGCATTGCCGGCCCCCATACTGTGGAGATCAAAAGCAACGCACCTAAAGAGCGTGTGCCAGCTTTGGGGAGCGGTTCAAAAATTATAACCAGGTGAAACGTCAGGACCAGTCATGTCTAATAATACCAGCGAGAAGTGTCACTGCAGCACAAACAAGATAGGCCAATCACTTTAAGCCATTTTCGTGTCCAAAGTGCGCAATGAACATTTCGGCACAGTAGCACACTGCGTTTTTTCTTTGTGGCCTCAGATTATATCTTTGGAAAAGAGAACTTGGTGCATGCCGGTCATCATATTCATCGTACCTTCAGGAACTATGCGTGGAAATTTCACGTCCATCCCGTTCAAAATGCGCATGCATATTAGGATGAAGAAGAAAAATGCGTCGTTCATATCTGCCGTTCGAGAGCAAGACTTCTGGGCATAGCGGTGATCAATTTTCTCTCAATCAATGTTGTGCCAGGCATGCTGACGTAAACAAACCATGACGCAATGAGGAGCATATATACTAAACAGAGAGTTGTGCTGTCTAAAGCAGTCTTTGCCACTTAAAAGTATACCAGTAGTTACCAGTGAGCCTGTTCCATCACATCTGATGCTTGTTGTAATGTCTTTAGTCGTGAAACATTTCTTTCACAAGCGCTCGGTGGGGGAGTCAATTTGCCCCCTCCCTCGAAGGTTTCCTGGAATGGTTTCCGAGCGGCGCGGTGCAGCCGCGCGAATTTGGCGCGGCTACACCGCGCCAAATTTTGCTTAGCCGTTGACAGTTGAATAGCAAATTGTTTGGCATCAAAATTTAGGCGCAATTTGTAAGGTTGATGACCTATGGCAGGCCAAAGACAGGTCGTGGATTCAACGAAGTCAACATCTAGGTAATCATTCGATTTGATGCAACAATGGAGTATTAGAAGAATCCATACATCTCTGCGACACTTCTTTTAGACAACACAACAATTTAATAAACAAATTTCATTGACTTTGGGTCAGGTATGAAGGTCAGACCAAGATAAAAACCAACCTGTTGTGTTGCTCTACGGTTTGCTATACAGGGTAGCTTCTGGTGCCCATTTCTAATTTATTGATAAAGGAACCGCATTGTACACCTTCAATGGACGTATTGAAGGTCAGAGCAGGTCACTGACCTAAATTTATCAAGGTCAACATTTTGTTTTTAAGAACATATTGCCTAGCGTAAAATTTGTCGACCATTCAAGTGCAAAACTCAAGGGAGTCCAGTATCATTTTGGTTACTACGACATTTGAAAGGTCAAATAAGATCCCTGGCCTTAAATGAGCATGTGATCTTTTGCTTGGAAGAGGTCTCTAAGTTCTAGTACACTTTGAAGGCCGGTCTTGACCTTGACTGCTTGACCTTATTTGACTTCAAAGTCATGGCCTAGGAACTTCCAAAATTAGCCTAAGTGAGATCACGTACAAACTAAGTCACCCTGTGAATTCGATGTCTCTAGCCCTCTTAGTTCCTGATATCTCAGGGGGTCAAAATGACCCCCTACCGGAGCGAAAGGTATCCAACCGGCCACCGGGGCGCGTCTTAACACGCACCCGGGTGGGCGGCACGCGCCCGGGTGGACGGTAGGAGGTCAAGTCTTAAAAGTCAGGTTTCTGGCCTGAATTGGCGCAGATCAACCTTCTTTTTGGAACAGATAGGCCAGCTTGGTCCTTGACGCTTAATCAGTTTAACAGATTAAAACGATTTCGTTGCTATTTGGCAACCATGACTTTCTAAAGGTCAAACAAGGCCACTAAACTTAACGAACACTAGTGTACTTTTGCTTAAAACAGGTGTCTAGTTTCAAGGCGGCCGCGCGAGAAAGTCTGGGAGCACTTTGGACATGAACTGTTGTTTGACCTTGCTTGACATTATTTTACGGAGATCTTGTGACCTAGGAGCCTCAAATTTCTACTCGTGAGTTCACACACGTTATATGTATGCAGTTATATGTATGCATAGACTTGCCTAAGCCTTTTCCCACATTCAAGACAGCTCTGATATATCTGGAGAGATTTCGACGTTGAAAACAAACAGATCTTTTTGTATTCGGCACATCTGTCAGAAATTTGTTTTGGTCGGCCACCACCGCCAGTTGCCGGCCGGCGCAGGCTGTTTTTCCGGAGGTGTTTGGTTTCATTAGCTGACCCGGGGCCCGGCCTAGTGTCGGCGCCGGGAGCTGGCATGATAAACGACGGACGGGGAGCGCCGTCGGCCGGCCGCAGCTGGGGCTAATGAGCGGAACCGGCTCAGCCGCGAAGGAGGAGGAAGGGAGGGGGGGGGGGGGTGAAAACACCGCCGACCGCCCCTCCCTCTGCTGTTTCGACTCACAGCCGGTCTCACTGCAGAGGCTTGATGTTGATGAGCAAGCGTTTTGGGGGCACTGAGAACGAAAGACGATTTCGTGGTGTTCAGATACAGGCTGTCGCACAACTAGGTATCATACTTAGGTCTTGAATTAAAGAGGCAGCATTCCATCAATCAGAATCTACCAGAACTCCATCAATCAGATTTCCTTGCTGCGCTTATGGGCGCAGTTTCACAAAATGAGTTGGAATAAGTATTGGGAAGGGGCTGAGCAATGAAAAATGACGCAGCCTACTCCCAAAATATGGCAACAAAACGGGCTTCTGCCCGGATTTGGCCCACTTTCTCAAAGTTGGGGGACCTGGAGCCAAGTTAAGGGAAAGTGTTTCAAGCCTTAAACTGAATAGGGCACTGGACCCCTGACATCAGTTGATATATTATTTCTTGCTATTTCATTCCACGTGTAAGGTGTCACTCTGACTTCACGCGGCCACTCGGTTGAGTACGGGTGAAAAGCTGACGTCGCTCGGTTTTACTTGGAAATCAAGTCAATGAATTTGAAGCAACGCAGCCAAAACAAAATTGTTTTTGCCCGGACTGCTCAGAAGCAAAAACAATTTTCAGGACTTCCCAGAAGTTGTGTGTTCATAGAAGAGTCAAAAATTAGCCCGAGGGGCTTATGGCCCAAAAGCACAATTTTACTCTTCAAACTGTTGAAAACGTGGAAGCTGTGGTCCTCCACACGCCCAAAATTCGGTGCGGTGTCTTGCTCAAGAGACGTACTTGAGCGGCACGAGGCGTCGCGTGTCGTGAATGCAAGTTATTTTGCGTAGTTCACTGAATGTTTAAGATACTCTGGGTCTAACTCCCTGCAACATTTATGCCGCGTGAACAGCTGATGGACGCCCCAAAATCTTAGCGCAAAGTTTTGTTCGAGAACGAGGCTCATTTCCACCGACACAGCGGTCAGGGCTGTCGGATTTGGGGTCAAGCTCCATCCAACGAGGTTCTTGAGACTCCATTTCATTCGCCTAAGGTCACGACTCAGCATGCACCAATCGGCCAGGTCACCGTCGGCCCATTCTTTTTCCGGGATCGGAACAGCAAGACTACACCTGCCAATACGGAGCGCTGCATCTCCGAGCTGAACTGATTTTGGGTGTCCCTGGAGCTGATGAAGTGGTGCACAGCGCACCTACTGATGACGCACCGTGCACCAGCACTGGGTGCAACGAGTCAAGGCTACCCTTCACATGGCTCGCAAGTCACTGCAGTGGCTTAGAGACCACCTGGACGGCCGCTTTATCTCCAAAAGGTTCACCATTAGCTGGGCAACATCAACACTCAATAACACGCAACACTCGCCAGACCCAACCCCTGTAGTTGTTTTGCGGAAAGGGGTATTTCCGAACACACATCTTCAGATCATGACCGAAGATTTTTGGGGGCCTCAAGGACAAGATCAAGAAAGCTGTTCGCGAGATCAATGTGACATGTGTCGCAGGGTGACGCATGAGGCGCTTCGCAGAGCCGGCGTGTGCCTAAAGCGGAAAGGAGGGCATCTTGGGCGCGTATGCTCCTTTGCCGCCTTCCGCTCGGTCAGCCTTGTAAATGAACGGGCGCTGAGCAGTGGCGGCGGCGGGTGGTATCAGTCACCCCTCCGGGGATGGGTGCCTTCCTGCTCTCATGTTAATGCGAGGCCTCGTGACCTCATGCTTCTACTCCCACGCGCCCGCCATGTTCGTGCATGGCGAGGCAGTTAAAATGATTTCATTGTGCAGAGTCTCTTCATAACCTTGACGTCCCGAAAGTCAGGAACGAGGCTATTCTGATAGCTGAAAATATATTCCGCGCAGTGAACCACGTGTACTTACATGCTGAGACTATCAAAAGCTATTATTATTATGTTGCCGTACAGCAGGCATATGATACCTATACAAACTAATGCTTTTTATACAATAATGCTTATCAATGATGTGTGAAGGCCAGACACCAGAATGGTAGCAGCGTGGAAAGAGTTATTGATTGAAAGAAGAATACCTGATGCAAGAGAGTAATTTCCAGCTTTCTGTACCTTTCGGTTAAAAAAAAACTAGTTTTCAGTACGTTAAACCCGAGTACTTTGCCTTCTACGTTCTTCAAATTACGTTGGCACGCTTTGCAGAACCGTGATAACAGTCGTGCACAGCACCAAGCAGCTCGTCCTGGCGTCTGTATGCACACTACCGCATACACAACATTGGGACAGCCTTGCCATTCGCCCGCGTTCTCGTAAACTGAACCGGTTCCGAACGGTCCAGCTACCTGGGGCGGCAGCGGCCTCCGGCGGGAGCCGAGTCTGCGTTGAGGGCCGGCACAGAGGGCAGCACCGGCGGGACGCTGACCGCCGGCGCGGTCACCGATCAGTCTGCCGTCCGTTCCGGCGCGTGCTGCGGGATGCGGGGGAGGTGTGGGCTATGACCGGGCTGCGGTCGGGGGAGGACCATGCGGGTGTCAGCTGTGCTGCTGACGCTCCTGGCGGGCGCGCGCTGGACGGCCGACGCCTGCGTGGAGCTCGACGCCGACGCACTGCGCTGCTCCGTGACCACGCTGGACGAGGCCCGTGTGAACATCACGCGGCCCGAGCGGCTCCAGCGGCTGGAGCTGACGTGCAGTGACCGGTCGCACCGACACGAGCAGCTGGACGTGTCGTTCCTGCGTGGGTTCGGCGGACTCCGTTCGCTGGCGATCCACGGTTGTGTCGTTGTCGGCGTCGGTCGCGGCGCGTTCCGGCACCTTCGGAGCCTGAGTGCGCTCAGCCTGAGGACGTACGGCGCGGAGTGGCCCGGAGTCGAGCTGGAGCTCCAGCCGGGCGCGTTCGCAGGCGTGGAGCGTCTGGAGTCGCTGGACTTGAGCGTCAGCGGCCTGCGCCTTCTGCAACGAGGTGTCTTCGCCAGCCTCACCACACTGAAGAAACTGAACCTGACCGGAAACGATCTTCAGGATTTCTCCGAGCTGCTTGGTGCGGGCATCAGTGAAAACCTGCAAATACTGGACGTCTCCCACAACCGGATTTCTGAGTTGCCGGTCTCCGCAGCCAGCTTCCTGCCCAGCCTCCGCGAGCTGTACATCAACGCCAACGAGCTGTCGGCGATCCAGGACGGCGCGCTCTGGGGCCTGCCGAGGCTGGAGGTGCTGGACGTCTCCGACAACCAACTGGCTGCGTTACCGGCCCTGATGCTGAACGAGACGCGACGTCTACGTGACCTGCGGATGCAGAACAACAGCATTCGCGTCCTGCCGCCGGGCTTGCTGGCGGACCTGCCGCACCTCCTGGCCGTCAACATATCGTTCAACGAACTCAGCTCGCTCTGGGTGCGCGGCGACGCGTTCAGCGGCCTGCTCCGGCTGGTCGTGCTGGACCTCGCCGGCAACCGGCTGGAGACGCTGAGCCCGGAGGTGTTCGGCGACCTCTCGAGCCTGCAGGTGCTTGACCTGTCTGTCAACCGACTACAGTCGCTGCCCGGCGGCGTGTTCGCGGCGCTCAGCAACCTGCACACACTGACGTTGTCGGACAATCTGGTGAGCCGGCTGGAGCGGCGCTCGCTGGCCGGCCTGCGCGTGCTCAGCCGCCTCAGCCTCGACCGCAACCGGCTGGCACACATCGATGACGAGGCGTTCGGCCACGCGCGTGGCCTCACCGAGCTGCAGCTGCAGGGAAACAGGCTGCGTGGCCTGCCGCCCGCGCTCGGCCGGCTGCCGCGGCTTCAGCGTTTGGACCTGGGTGACAACGGCGTCGTGAGCCTGCCGGCCGGCGCGCTGCAGCCGCTCTCGCACCTCGGCTTTCTTCGCCTGGCAGGCAACCGACTGGCGAACGTGTCGGCGGCGCTGCTGGCCGGGCAGCGCGAGCTCACACTGCTCGACCTCTCCCGCAACGAGATCAGCAGCGTCGAGAGCGGCGCCTTTGACGGAGCGACCGGCCTGCAGGCGGTCCGACTCGACGCCAACCGGCTCAGCAACGTCAACGGCCTTTTCGCGAAGCTGCCGGCGCTGCTCTGGCTCAATGTCAGCGATAATCGGATCGAGTTCTTCGACTACGCGCTGATCCCGGCGGAGCTGCGTTGGCTGGACCTCCGGAAGAACCAGCTGAAGGTGATTGGAAACTTCTACAACATAGAGTCGAAGATCAAGCTGGAGACGTTGGACCTGAGCCACAATCAGATCTCGAGCATCAACAGAGCCTCCGTGCCCGACAGCATCAAGTACCTTATATTAACCAGCAACCAGCTGACGACGGTGGAGCTGGGGACGTTCGAGGCCAAGTCCCGGCTGATCCGAGCCGACTTGTCCTCCAACCAGCTGAGCCAGCTAGAACTCAAAGCAATCACGCTGCCGAGTGCAGACGAAACCAAGGACAAAGAGGCGGCGGAGGTGCTGCTAGCGGGCAATCCTTTCTTCTGCAACTGTCGGATGGACTGGCTGCATACTATCAACTCGATACTCTCGAGGCGCAAGTACCCTAGGGTAAGAAGCCGATGGTTCATTAACCAGTCTCATTTGACATGATGTCAGAAATTTGATTTGTTGGTATGCCACGTTGAGAGCAGACGTTAAAATTGTTCCGACGCCTGGAGGGCCTTGCTGCCAGTCTCAAGTCGTAGTCACGTTCCCAATCTAGGGATGTGTAGCCCACCAACGCACTTCTGTCGATGGTGAGCCATTTGTGCTAACTGCCTCCTGCCACTGGCTATATAGGTTGAAAGATATCCCAAGGAGTTGGGTGTCATAGGCAATTATGACGGTTGCTGCTTTCAGTTAAGCTCATTGCGACTGGCAATGTGGCTCTCAGAGTCATGGCAGGCTCGATCCAATGGTAATGATATTCTGGATAACTTTTGTCAGCGAGTTTCTAGCTTATTGCCCAAGAAAGAAAACCATTTGACTTATGAGGCAACGACCAGTTAGCTTACAGGCAGCTTTTACTCTTCATAACTCTTTGAGATCGATTTTGGTCTTCGAATCAACGCTTTTTAGATGGGATCGTGTAAAAGCTGACTCTTCGATTTAATGGCCGATATCCTGGAGCAAAAGCGTCCCGATAGGCCGCTGCTCCAGGCCTTTGCGAACATCCCACACTGGTGGAAAAGATGAGCTAATGCGGGTCCTTTCCTACTTGCAGCTGTGTGAGGTTCAAAGACCAGTGCACGTTTGGGCTGGCGTGATACCTCAGGAATGTTTAAGTATGCCATAGGACCAGGTGAAAAGCGCCGGCTCGTCCTTCAGTATCTATTTCCTCTCCTACTCTACTGTAATTAGCCCGGAATTGCTGGACGTAGCAGACGGTTTGTGCGATTAGAGGGCGGTTTGTGCAGCGGTACTTTAATAAGCAGTCGGCTGAGGAAGGATTTGTGGAGCAACTCTCTTTGAAGCCATTGTGGCGGGAGCCAGCGAGGGCACCACGACGCCGACACACCAGGCACGGCATCGTGCGGGTGTCTGCGTACTAACGCGGCCTTTTGAGGCATTCTTTGATACCGATATGAACCGTAACATACAAATAATCTCCGTGCGTTATTTGAAAACAAGCCGCCGATAAGAGCCAGAACCCGTTGTGTAAAGCTCCGTCAACACGCGATGTGGAGCCACACGGCACTCGTCTTGCAGAGTTAGCACGCCATTCTGCAACAAAGCGGACGTTCCAATGAGACCTATCTCGACTGGTCCTTGTGACGTCACTGTCGGGCGAGCTTTCGTTCTCACGAATGTCCACTTTACTCGACCGTGAAATTTCGTCTGTTAAACGTGTTAAACAAACTTTGCGACAAAGTCATTTTTCATGCGGAACTTTCAGGCACGGACGCTGGACACGAATGCCCTGTCCGACGTGTAATCACCAACTAGCACAGTCACTTCGAATGTATCATCCTGCCAGGACCGCACTTGGCGGGGAATAAATTACGGATACAGCTTATAGCTACACTAGATATTAAATGCACCCCCGCGTTGAGCACATCCTGACGTGTATGCTTGTCGAGCTGTAGGAAACAGGTTGTGAAAATGGTCGGAGTGCGTCAAGGATTTGTTGTTTCTGTATGTGATTTCACCAACTTTTTTGTGGGCGTGATTTTATCAAACCATCGGTACTTTTATTTCCAAGATCCCACGTCACTACAACGCAAAAAATATATTTCGAGTGGTAAATGCACATCGCCGTAACATATCAGCGTGCAGCTTTTTTACGATCAGCGAGACATATACAGCTTTGTCCTCACGCCATGAAGACAGCTTGAGATTCCGTGTTGTCTCAAGGCCGTTCACGACTGACGCGCTGGTCCCTGGCGACAGGTGCTGGACGCGGAGCGGGTGATGTGCCGTCTGCTACGGTCACCGGACCACCCGATCCCGCTGCCGCTCACCGAGCCGGCCGACTTCCTCTGCAACTACGAGCGGCACTGCTTCGCCCTCTGCCACTGCTGCAACTACGTGGCCTGCGACTGCGAGATGAAGTGCCCCGACGGCTGCTCCTGCTACCATGACCACACATGGAACACCAACATCGTCGATTGCAACAGCCGAGAGCAGATAGCCATCTCGCGGGAGATCCCGATGGACGCGACGGCCTTGTTGGCCGCCGGCAACAACATCCGAAGCCTGGAGAGCCACACTTTCATCGGGCGCAAGCGGATCCGCCTGTTGTACGTCAACAACTCCAACGTGGAGGAGATCCAGAACCGCAGCCTCAACGGCCTCTCGGCGCTCCAGGTGCTCCGGCTCGAGAACAACGTCCTCCCGGAGCTGTACGGACACGAGTTTGACAGCCTGCAGTCTCTCCGCGAGCTCTACCTGCACAACAACCGTCTGAGGACGATTCATCCGTCTGCCTTCACCAAGCTAGGCTCTCTGGAGGTACTGACACTGAGCGACAACCGGCTCTTCAGCTTCCCCGTCTGGCGGCTGACGTCCAATCGCTACCTCGCGGCGCTAACGCTCTCCGCCAACCCATGGTCGTGCGAATGCGCTTACATGGCCAAGTTAACCGCTTTCGTCGCCGACAACGCCGCCAAGGTAGAGGACGGCGGTGATGTGCGCTGCTCGAAGACGGCGCTGGGCGTCGCGTCCACGTGCGCCCCGGACGAGGCGCAGTCGGTGGCGCCTCGACCGAGCGCCGCGGCCGCAGCTCTGGCGCTGGCGCTGACCGCCGCGCTCGTCCTGGCCGTGTCTGCCGTGGCGGCCTGTCTGCTGCTGCGCCACCGGGCGGTCGCCTGCGCATGCCGCAAGCGCAGTGCGACTGAGTCGGTGACCACCGGCTCCTCCTACACGGTAACAACGGGCGTTTCAGTCGTCACGCCCGACGCCGAGAAGCAGTTCGACGTGTTCGTCACGTACAGCGCGCAGGACACGCGATTCGTGAACGAGGTGCTGGCGCCGGAGCTGGAGCACGCGACGCCGGCGTACCGGCTTTGCCTGCTGCGGCGCGACGCGCCCAGCACCAGCTACCTGGGCGACGCCGTGCACCACTGCGTGCAGGCGTCGCGGCGAACGCTGCTCGTGCTCTCCAGGAACTTCCTCGACAACGAGTGGTGCCGCTTCGACTTCAAGGCGTCGCACCTGGACGCGCTGGAGACGTCGCGCGGCGTGGTGGTCCTGCTGTACGGTGTGGAGCGCAGTGCGGTGGAGGGCGAACTAAAGACGCTCCTGAAGAGCGCCTCGTGTGTGCGGTACGGCGGCCTTGACTGTTGGCGTCGCCTACACCGGCTGCTGTCGCCCGGCCGTCGCTGCAAGAACTCGCTGCCTCGCAGCGTCAGTGACCACGCCTGCATCACGTGCGACCGCTACAGCAAGAACCCGCGGAACACGATGGTGCGGCGGGACTCGCCGATGCTGGCCTGCTCCGCGCTGGGGTCGCAGCGTCGGCACGGCGAGCCGTCTTCCTCGTGCTCCGGCTCGATCAGAGCCCCGGGCTCCACGTCGGGGGGACGGCCGCCGCACGGCGGCAGCTGCAGCAGCCTCCAGCCCAGCGAGCACACGTACGTGTCGCTCGAGCAGTACGGGACTGTGGACCGGACGCCGGCCGAGTCGGAGATGTACGCCACGCTGGAGCCGGCGGTGATGCTGAGCGGGCCGTCCGACCCAAACCTCGCCGCTCACGCCCGCCAGTGGTCGGAGTCAGGGGAGGGTCAGCCGGCCGGCTGTCGCCAGCTGTCACCTGATCACCTGGGTCGGAGGAGCCGGCATCACTCCCAGAGGTCAGGGTCCGGCCTGGACGACCTGGATCATCACCACCAGAGGTTCGGGTCCGGCCTGGATGACCCGGGCCACCACCACCAGGAGGTTCGTGTCTGGCCTAGACGACCCGGACCACCACCACCACCCGATGTCGGAGGTCGCCCTCACTCCGGGTGTGGTGAGAGCAGCTCCGGTGGTGCAGTGTAGGCTGTGCTCAGGTGCCAGCGCTGTTGTGGCGAGTTGGCGGGCGCCTGACGAGGGCCAGCGGAGGTCAGGTCGCGGCGCAGGAGAGCCGCGGCAGTCCGCGGAGGGACGGAGTGCTGCACCCACCACGGCCGCGTCCTGAGGCAGACGGCGTCGGATCGGCCTGTGGTGGACACCGGCCGATGCTGGAGACAGGTGAGATGCAATCAGAATATCGGTGTTTACGATGTGCTATCGTCCAGTTGGCTGGAAACATGAAAACAGAGGGCGCCGAAGCAGTGGTCTCAGAACTATAAACGTGACCTGTATTTGGCCCGGGAACATGCGTGTCGCAGTGCTGTTGTATCATTTTTGTGCATATGATGTACTTTGAAATGTCGGTGATGATGCCTCAAAGAAAAGTCGCTACGTGAGATACTCAAAGTGTGTAACTAGTTCTGTAATCAAAAGACATTGCTTTACCACCTCCTACGTGGTAGCTACATACTTCGCAGCTGTAGGATCCGCTTGGAGGAAGAGCAAACCTCAGTCCGAGCCTGCTCGCTACAGCGGTGAAACAACGAAACTCGTTCCGAAGTAATGCAGATCGTTCGAATGTCACATCACTCCTTGTCTACAAAACTATTGCTAGTATTCAGGACTGGGAGGCACGAGTTCCACGAAGGCAGAACTGCTGCATCGAAAACTTCACCGTATACTGAGGCGCCGGTCGTCTCAGCGGATCTAAGCTATGGGTGGGCCATTCGTACCGACTCGTAAGGAATGCCGATGGGACCTTTTTCTTGTTTTGTTTTTGATGTGGATCGATTGTGTTCTTTGAAAACGGAAACATGCGGGCCAGAGTTAGGTTATTCAGGCAGATCGACACGCTGATAACAGAGCGTTCCTCCTTGATTAGTTGGCGGAGTATGCCTATGGCGGGTTTGGCGCGGTCTGCACAAACCTGCCGCGCCATAACCGGATCTGAGCATGTACATCGCCATCATGTCACCGTTCATGATTGATAGTGGGAACGCTCAACAGACTGCAGTCGATTAAAGAGTTCGTGTTGGCCAGCTCACGATCTCACGACGGAACAAGCATTCGCGTCGTTAGGGATGGCCACCTCGATTACGTTTCGTGCCGCGCATCATCTCCCTGCTTATTCTCACGCTGTTTTATTGTTGGCCGGGCGGTCAGCACGAGAGGCGGACGCAGGATCGCCATGAGTGTAAATCGTCGGGAGTTGGCTGTTGTTGCTCGCAGCATCCACTCCGCAGGCGGCCGCATCTACACGGCTGCTTTGATCTTCGGACAGGTCATCTGACTCATCTCACTGATCAACGGCCATGCGAAAAGGTGTGATACTTTGTCTGTGATGCTACATGTTGAATGCTTATCGTGTTTGCCCTGTTATGTAACCTGCGGTTTTGTGTTGTGCCACTGGGGCTAGGCAAAACCCTGCCCATATGAAAAGCCATGAGAAGTAAAATGAAATAAAAAATTGTAATGCAGTATATTGTGCGTGCATGGCGCTCTGTGACGCCCTCGGAGAGCAGACCATGTCTCATCTTACACCGCAAAGTGATGATGGACGTCAGGGACTTTTTGTGTCCGAGAAACAGCCGTAGAATGACATTCAGCATGTGACGATGCAACGGAACGAAATTTTCCAGCAACGTGAATCAACCACGAACGATCAGAAAGTGCTTTACTGCGGCCGGTGGTGTTGCAACAGACTTCCCTTCCGAAATGTATGTTCTCACGATCACCGACTTGCTCGTTGCGTATTCTCACATTCGCTTAGACTTACTTTAGTTTTTACATTTTCACAATGGTAGAGTTTGTCTTACAAATACCTGGATCTCAGATACGGCATTTTACAAAGCTGATGTAAATATTGGATGGCATTCGTGTAATTTTTTCGCAAGTGTGATTTACTTTTCTCTCCTCGGTAAATGTGCAATTACCGACTCAGCAATTGATGAGGCACTGCGGCGGCCCGCTCGTCAAACACAAGGCCGACCAAAAACCCCTCTCAGAAGCTGTGTCCTGTCAAGCAGACACGCATGCATGTATAACCACCAGACAACAGCAGACAATGAGGACATCTGCAGACTGCTCACTTCCACCGGTCGCTCCGCTCGCAACCTGTGAAGCAAGGCCTGAGAAAGTTCGCGCGCTTAGAGGAGGACGTTTTCGCCTTCGGTAGTGTGGAGGTCTTCTGACGTGGTCGAGTCCAATGGGCGTTGACAGCGGTGCGTGACATTGCGGGCCCGACGGGCGTTTTCGACCGCCTGAGCATGACGGAAGCATTTGAAATTTTAAAATCTCTCTCTCTCTCCCCTCATCTCTCCTCTCAGAGGGGAGCGCGAGAGAGAGAGCGAGAGGAGCGCGAGAGAGAGCGAGAGAGAGAGAGAGAGAGGGAGGAGAGGAGAGCTCTCTCTCTCCTCCTCTCTCATCTTCTCTCTCTCTTCTCTCTCTCTCTCTTCTCTCTCTCTCTCTCTCTCTCTCTCTCTCTCTCTCTCCTCTCTCTCTCTCTCTCCTCTCTCTCTCTCTCTCTCTCTCTCTCTTCTCTCTCTCTCTCCTCTCTCTATCTCTCTCTCTCTCTCTCTCTCTCTCTCTCTCTCTCTCTCTCTCTCTCTCTTCTATTCTCTCTCTATCTGTCTCTCTCTCTCTCTCTATCTCTCTCTTATCTCTCCTCTATCTCTATCTCTCTCTCTCTCTCTCTCTCTCTCTCTCTCTCCTCTCTCTCTCTTCTCTCTCTCTCTCTCTCTCTCTATCTCTCTCTCTCTCTCCTCCTATCTCCTCTTCTCTCTCTCTCTCTCTCTCTCTCTCTCTCTCTCTCTTCTCTCTCTCTCTCTCCTCTCTCTCTCTCTCCTCTCTCTCTCTCTCTCTCTCTCTCTCTCTCTCTCTCTCTCTCTCTCTCTCTCTCTCTCTCTCTCTCTCTCTCTCTCTCTCTCTCTCTCCATCTCGCTCTCTCGCTCTCTCGCATCCTTGCTCTTTCCTCGCCTTTGCTCTCTCTGTGGCAGTGTGCACGGTTGGTGCAGGTACCGTGTTCAGAGTCCCACCAATTTTTTCATGACTGGGGAAACTGCACTGCAAGGAAACCTCTAATACTTTTCTGCGCTGGAGAGACAAATACATCCTCGCCGTAAAAAGACGGTGGTGCAATCCTGAGAGGAACGAATCGCATGCACAAGACAAGCAAGTCTACTAATATCGGTGACGACGACTAACGGAAATATGATTCGCGCCACGTACTCCTTCCGAGCTTCCCCATTGTCATAAAGCCCATTGTTGCACAGCATGAGCCACCAGCAAAGTCATTTGCCCCGTGAGAGAACATTTCAAAACTTTTGCTCTGTATTGTTTTCATTTTACCAACGTTTTGTGAATTTTCGGAAAGAAGCGTACCGGTGGTCCGTCTTACCGCGTATCTGATTTCCTTCGCTGCGTGACGCACTTGTTAGGGACCCATGCTAGCCGAGCAGCTGAGGAGCCCGCCAGTCCAGATAGTTATCATGCACATCTGACTCGTTATTTATTTGGGTCAGGCCTGGCGCCGATCCTGTCTCCGCGAGCTCGCCGCCACCCCCCATGGGGTCCGCCGCCACCGCCCACTGGGGCCGGTCCGGCGCGTCGGGGACGCAGGGGTGGTGCGGCCGGGCCGGGCCGCCACTAACGACAACGGCCGCCGCCATCGTCATCGCCATCGAGCGCCATCGACCTCCGCCCATCAGTGTCGGTCAGCACCGCTGGCAATGGTTACCTGACCCGTGCCTGTACACGGGGAGCGGCGGGACGCACCTCCCCCTCTCCCCGCCCACATCGGCCCGTGACAGGCCAGCTCCGCTAGCTTCCCACAGGAAGGGTCTTCCCTTTCGCTGACCACTGGAGAGCCCAGCTGCGGCGGCTTCTGGCAGCGTTCGGGGCAGGCTGTTGCTGCAGCGCTGGCCGCGTTGGTCCCTGGGCGTGGCCCACAGTTGGCGGCTGGTGGGAGGAGTGTCCCGGGCCGCTTGAGCGTGCCTGACTGATCGAGTTCCGGAACACATCACGGGTGGCCCTCAGTGAATGCGGCGGGAGCAACACGCCGCTGTGCGTTGCGTCGGCGTGTGCTCATCGGTTTGTTGTGCGGCCGCTAATGTAACGCATTGCTTAGCCAAGCTGGATCAGACCGTCAACGTGACAGCAATCTCTGCCATCCGGTTGTGATTTGAGTGTGATCAAGACACAACACAGGCTTTCACTCTTTCTATTTCCTGCATATGCGTCACTTTGCGTCTCTTTTGTGTAGAATTTGCCATTCAATCACAATCGCTGTCGCTGTTTTTTTACCACCACCGCTCTCATCCACCCTTGCCGTCGCCGCATCGCCGCCACGCACGACGGCCAGTCGACAGATGATTCCACTGCTCCCCACCCACTGCATCCCCCCTCTACCTTACACGTGGCCTGCTCTTCCCCTCACCGCGGCGGCTTGTCGTGGCACACTACCCACCCGCAGCCGTGGCTGTCCGGCTCGTTTCCCTCACCGCGGCGGTCTGTCCCGACCCACTCCCCACGGTAGCCGCGGCTCCCAGGCTCGTCCCACCACAGACGTGGCCGGCCCGTCCCCCTCGCCGCGACGGCCTGTCCCAACACGCGTCGAGGGCAGCTGGGCTGACCATGCCGCTTACCGGACCGTTTACCGGCCGGCCGACTCGTCTCGTCTCGGCGCGGCGGATCGTCGCTCCCCGCCGTCGTGATCGCTGACCGGGTCAGGCCGCTCCCTGGACCGTTTACCGGCCGGCCGGGGCGGCGGATCGCCGCTCCGCGCCGCCGTGATCGCTGGCCGGCCGACCGCAGCTGGCGGCGCCGGCCACCGTCCGGCCTATTTCACGGCCCGCGGCACCCGCCGGCCCCGTTTCCACCCAGTTATCACCGCCACCTCCAGCCGGCGTGCAAGCGGCACCTGCGTTGAGGACAGGACGACGCAAGATGACCTCGAATGACTGCACGTCATGAACCCTTGTCGTTCATCTAATCGGTCACTTGCATGCCTTTTTGAACATGTCAGGGGCTCGAACTTGCATTCTTTACTTTTTAAACGCTCTTTGCGGAACTCAGGTGCGTGATTTTTTAGGTGGAGGATGAGAGCGCGGTATGCCATCGAAATAATCATGCGCTCTTCGGCACCGACGCAGCGTGTACGACCCATCGTATCCGGCAGTGATTCGGACAGCATGATAGTAAACACCACGGGTCCGAGGTACACGGACCTTCAATTTCAATAAAATGGTCTTTTGTCTCCCAATTTCCGCTGTAAGATGAGCGCTCTTCGCGTATCGCCTGTAAAAAGCGTGATGGCTGGGAAGGCCTGCTCTGAGATCCCGCTTTGTCCACCCAATCTCCGGGATAGGGCCACTCACATGTGAGGAAATGTCCACCATGACATCAGCCCATGTCACCAGGGCGTGCATCGAGCTTCGCAGGCAGCGCCGCGGGCAGGGTGGGGACACAGCCTTCCAATAGCCGTGGAATCTGACCTTAGGCCTGCCGTATGGAAAGAATGGACCTGAAATACTCTGTGTCTCCATCAGTCATCCCCTCGCGCTCCATCGCCGGCAAATGGCACCGCCCCTGGTGAACCCAGCAGGGCTGACCACGACCCATGGATGGCCTGTCGTTACGCTATGAGAAAGTCTCCATCATAAATGCCACTAGGCTTGCGTTGAAGTACCGGTAGGTCGAAGTCCCGGCTCCAGAATCGATGCAAGTTGCGTTGAGTCAATGTGGAATCGGACGGCGGACACATATGTATATGTAATCATATGTATATGATCATATGTAAATGTAATTTAAATAAATAGCTCTACGCTGAAAAACCTGAATTTTATCCTGTTAAAATGGAACAAAGGCTGCCTATGCGGGTTATTATGAAGGTCATAGAATAGCTGCCTATCTGCCAGCGGCATATATTACGAAATCGACGCCTATTTTTCAGCAGCCGTGACTGCGACGAACGGAACATTGCGACACCAGTCGGCCGCAGGTGTCCGTAGATCTCCCGTCTGTCCTGGCGACCCTGCCGTCGCCTCTGAGAGCCGCTGGGCCCCTGCTGCCGCCTCTGCGGGCCGCTAGGCCTCTGCCGTCGTCTCTGAGGGCCGTTGGGCCCGCTGAGGACCGTTGGCCCGCTGCCGTCTATCTGAGGACCGCTGGGACCCAGCCGTCGTCGCTGAGAACCGCTGGGCCCGCTGAGGACCGCTGAACCTCTGAGGATCGCTGGGCCCCTGCCGTCGCTTCTGAGGATCGCTGGGTCCGCTGGGGACCGCTTAGCCCTTGCCGTCGCCTCTGGGAGCCGCTGGGCCCCTGCCGTCGCCTCTGAGGGCCGCTGGGCCCGCTGAGGACCGCCGGGCCCCTGCCGTCGCCTCTGGGGACCGCTGGGTCCAGAACCGCTGAGCGGGCCCGCTGCGGTCCGGCCGGACGATGCTCCATCACTGCCGTTGTTTGCCGCTCGGCGGCGGCGGCCCGCTTTACATTGCCGTGATTTACGGGTGGCTCGCGACGGTGGCCGGGCTGATGCGATTGGACAGCCGTGTCCGGGCCGATCGGCCGGCCGCACCAAAGCACCGCGGCAGAAAGAGCGTCCAGCACCCGCGTGGACGGACGATCGCTTCCCTTTCAGCGTTCACGAGAAACCACTTGGACAATATGACCACCGCGCGGAGAGCGAAGGGAGGGGCAGATTGCCCTGCCCGTTTGGAAAGAGTTATGGTATGGAGCGGGCTGGGGGTTTATTCCGCCCTAGCACTGTGGACGTCCATGCGTCGTTGGTCCAGCACCGAGCCTTTAAAGCGCAGACGGCTCTGAGCCGGCCTGAGTAAACCTGCCGCGGCGAGTGGGCCGCCAGCCGGTCACGAATGCCCCACACCCCACGCCGCCCGCCTTTGTGTTGCCCTCGCCGCCCCAAGCGGCACCCTCCCGCGCGAAATTATGTCTGCGTTTTTCTGAATAAACAACTGTCGGCTGAGGAAAATGCCGGGTAATGAGGATAAACGAATGTTGTGGTGGGGTTACGGTAGCCTAATCGTTTTGTGCGAGTGAAGGGTTCGGATAAAGGGTTCGGTGGGACGGAGATACTGCCGAGCAGGGGCCAAATACGCAGTGATGCTGAGCGCCTCTCTCGCTGGTGTGCTGCACAATTGCCAGTCATGTACACGTTTACTTCAGTTCAAGTTTGGGTCACATCACAAGCTTGGTTTGGGATTGTGCTCTGTTACACTCATAATTTGTTTCATTTCACTCGGGTTGTGCGTGCGCGTCTCCCGGGGGCGGCCAATTCTCACATTCCGCATAATTTGAAAAGGAGCAACATATTCTAAAACACAAACACTTCGTTTTACCGCATATAACAATTGTATTCGGTCACGGAAACACTGCTAAAATTATCAAGTACAAAGGGGACCAGCTTGCGGGACTTCAGGTGGGACAGCCCTCTCGAGCCCACTCCACCTATGACATTGAGGTCAGCACCAGGTCAGGGATTGGCCGGCTCGAAGAACAGCACGTATGCTTCATAACTGTTGGTGTGGCGCATACGGATGGGCTGTACTCTGGAGACGTTGTACTCGTACCACTCCCTTAAAAGAGCGAAATATGCTCGATTTGTATCGCTGTGCTGTACAACACAATTTTGTCTGAAAAAGCTTGGTTACGCGACAGCAATTAGTTATTTCAAGGGCAAACAATACAACATTTGCTTTACTATTTTCGAGGAACACATGATATAGTGGCTTCTAAAAACTCACTTTATGACCATGTTGCGACCGTCTACTGAGATTTGGTGTGTAAGGTCGCTGTGACAAACGGGCTAACAGGCTGTGACAGCCTGTTTGTGAACGTTTGCTCTGAAATGAATTGACTGCACCTGCCGCTTTCTTCTCACTTTGCAACTTGTGTTTTTACCGCTGAGCCCGGCCAGGGGGCCGAGGACCGCGTCCCACCGGGTGAGAATCTAATGTCACACGTGTCTGCTTTTGGGATGGAGTCGTTCTCGTGACGATCTCACCAGACCGCGCTCGCCGAAGTGAGCATCCCTCAGGCGCAGGGAAAGCCACGTAGATGCGTGTTGTCTCCCACCGATGCTCTCAGTCCGGCCGACTGCATTAAAATGCCGGACGTCTGGGCCAGGAGCGCATGCGATTCAATTGAGTTAATCATGGTTGTTAATCATGCAGATCACTTAAACGCACTGGTTACGACAGGTGATGACCGTGCAGAAAGTCATTTGCCATCTCATTTGCGTTAATGCACACGCAACACTCTCTGGACATAACAGCCGTGCACTCGGAAGCTGGGACTGGGAGTAGGAGCCGGACCGATTCGAGCGCCTCTGACAGAGCGGGCGTCTTCGTCCGCGGATAGGCAACCACTGTTCCCACCAGATGGCACCACTGGACAGCCATTAGCAACCCCTCTGCGCTCGTCCGGTGCCACTGTTCCCAACAGAGGCCACTCGTCTCGAGGGTGGGGGGAGGGGGGCGGATGACTTGGGCTACCTCTTCTCTGCTTCCTCCGTGCAGTGTTTTCGCTGCCTAGCAGACGTCAGAAGTAAACACTTGTGATAGCGCGAATTACAGCGACTTAGGTGGGTCCTGTACACGCATACGCCATATCCGTCCCTGACGCGTTGCGAGAGAGGAACAAGGCGCCGCTGTCCCCGTCGAGTGCGCATCACCGTCCCAGCAACTGCCCGCGTGACCCCACGTCTGACACAGCTACACCCGGGTGAGGTCACTTCAGGAACACATCACTGCCAGTGTGGAAGTGGGACCGCCCAGTGGACAACGCGTCCTGTACCCGAGACTTTCAGCAAAAGCGAGCGTGCCGTTCTTCCCCGCCGGAATCGAGCCGTCGCCGTCGCCGTCGCCGCAGGGGAGACGCACGGCACGGCGACACGCATCGGAAACCGGCGCGCCCTCCCTCGGTTACGTGTTCCGCTGGACGACCCCGGGCCGCTGTTAAACCAGCCGCAGGCTGTTGTCTGCAGGGTCGGGCGGCGGCCGGGGAGCTGGCAGTCGCCGTGTCCGTCCCGTCACGGCCGCTGGGCGGCGCTGAAGGGGAGGCGGCTCCGGGGAGGGGCGCACCCTCCTGCAGCGGCCCGGTGCCCGCCATGTGGCTGCCACATCCCCGCCGTCGGCGGCGATGTCGGCACCCCGATGAGTGGACGAGCCCCAGGCCGGAGCGGCATTAAAACCACCGGCCGGAAACGCGGCCCAGAAGGCCGGAAACGCGGTCAGAGTGGGACGCGTTCGTACGGGGCGCGGAGAAGGGCCGTGACGATCTAGCGTTTCAAAGGCCACGGCTCAATAAAGGAACGATCTGCCGGAAACGTTTGTCAGTTTTGCCTCACAAAGCGAGTTTGCTCTTTTCGGTTGTCAGTTGTCTCTGCATTGTTTGAACAGAGATATATCGCCTCCATTTAGAAGTGCTGAAGCCTTTCTGCTTCCGCATCTTACTGTTATTAGATGTGTCACAAATATTTTAAGGATAATCGCTAATGTGTCGCACAGTGTCTTTTCGAACAGCTTTATATCCTTTTCTCACCGTTTGACGTCTGGCCCGACACCAGCGGCGCCTGTGGTGGCGGACTGTCCGCCTGTGACGGACGACAGGGGCCGTCGGTGGTGGCGGACTGTCCGCCTGTGACGGACGACAGGGGCCGTCGGTGGTGGCGGACTGTCCGCCTGTGACGGACGACAGGGGCCGTCGGTGGTGGCGGACTGTCCGCCTGTGACAGACGACAGGGGCCGTCGGTGGTGGCGGACTGTCCGCCTGTGACAGACGACAGGGGCCGTCGGTGGCCGTCTCACAGCCGCCGCGGTCGGGCCCGGCCCCGCGGGACCGTCGCCGGCAGCAGCTGCGTCAACACGCCTGCAGCTCCCGGAAGGCCGGCGCACGCCCGGCACGCGCCGACACGGGCGGCCGCGTGCTGCTGGGCCGCGGGCCGCCGCCGGGCTGCGCGGCTGGGCGTGACCGGCGTGAGCGACAGGCCTCTGCCGGAAGGCGGCCCGTGGCAGCCATGCTCCGACGGCCAGCCGCCTCGTCGTCAGCAGAGCGGGCTGCAGGGCCAGGGCAACGGCCGAATGGCAACTTATAGTGAAAACCACTCGGCATGATGTTCCCGGGTTTGGCCCAATGACTGCGTGCTGATGTGAGTGGACCGAACTGATGCGAAAGGACAGAACTCCGTGCTTATGCAAGCGGACCGAACTCCGGATTTATGCGAGTGGACCAAGCTGTGGGATGATGCGAGTGGACCGAACGGATGCAAAGGGATCGAACTCCGTGCTTATGTGAGTGGACCGAAATCTGGGTGTACGCGAGTGGACCAAACTCCTGGCTTACGTGAGCGGAGCAAACTCTGGGATGATGCAAGCTGACAGAACTCCGGTAGATGCGAGAGGACAGAACTCCGACAGATGCGAGCGGATGGAACCCTGGACTAATGCGAGCGGTCAGAACTTCGTATCCGGCCTGCTGTATCAATTCGTGCTGTGAAGTGGGCACGTAAGGCAGAACATGTGGCTCATAGCAGCCGAGAGTGCGTTTGCTAGCGTGTTGACCACTGACCAATGTTGGGAGCCCATGCGCGCAGTGCCGTGTCGGGACGCTGGCAAGGGACCTCTCCAACGTGGTTGTCTGAGACCCACCCCTTCCAGGGACTGACTGAAATTTGGGTGATTTGTAAAATGGCATACGAATATCACTAACGTATGGGAAGTCGGTAATTAACAGTGGAAGACCACATTGGAAAATGAGCATAGGAAATTTTTCGGCGGAGAGAAATAGATCGCTTTCCGCCCAGGGTTACAGTATGAAGATGTGCTAATTACAAGTTGATATGCCTAGCGATTAGCTTGCAATCAGCGTGAAAAGCGAAATGTGCACGCACGGGCTGACGGAGATAGGCAACATAAATATCAGGCTACCTTCTTACCAGTGACAAGTAGATTAGTGCTGGCTGATGCGTACACCGCAAACCGATCATGCAGAATCAAATGGCAGGCATGAGCATGTGCTTTGTGACCTTATGTCAAGCCAAGCCGTTCGAATGTATTCAGCGTAGGGAGAAAACACTTGTTTCACGGGGTTAAGTACCACAGTGTTACCTGGGAGCTGTATTAGGCATGGAGGGCACTTATTCTGTCACATGGCCCAAATGTTGATATGGAAGACTGAGCAAGTGTCGTCCGACGTCAAAGCACAGTCAGCCACGAATCAGGTTTGAACGGGCACGCGTGCTGCCCATGGGACTTACCACACGTGATGGTCTGTGTCCACATCTGCGCGGTTTTCGAGTGGTCGTGGTCAAATAAACTACATCTGGTCGTGTAGTAAGTGCTATTAATGGAGCGCACTGCCACTCGTGAAAGAAATGCAGATTCTTCAATTGTACGGTCAACGTTGTTCTGGCTAAAAAGAGAGGCATCACAGATATCCATTGCGCTCTGCACCCCGAGTTGCCCATTCGTAATTCTACACGCATGCCACTTCGATGTTTAACAGAGCAACGTGCATAAACGTCTCAACAACGCAACACACGTGGCTCGACACTCACGCGGTGACTATGCAGACAGGTAGGCATCAAGCACTGTCGGCCCCGCGCACTGGTACGGACCGAGCATTGTCGGCCCTTGCGCACTGGTACAGACCGAGAACAGTCTGCCTCGAAGACAGGTACAGACCGAGCGCTCCGGAATGTAGACAGGTACGGTCCGAGCACGGCTGACCACGTAGACAGGTGCAGACTGTGCATGCCGTAATTAAGGCAGGTACAGAACAAGCACGGCGGAATGTAGGTAGGCACGGACCGAGCACGGCACATCTGGTGTGTTTAGCGCAAAAAAGTCAACGGACACAGACAACAGACTCGCCACGCTAGTCAGTCACTCGCACCACCGGCAGCAGTTCGGTCAAGGGGTGCGAGGCCTTACAAGATCGAAGCACACTGTGACAGATTGCCGCTTAAGGTTATCACGTACATTATGATTCTCGTCGCTGAATTGTACGCAGTCGGCTCGCTGGTTATGTACATCGTCATCAGCAGTTTCTTTGTTGTCGGTTCGGAGGCAACCCGATGTTCCTGCCGCCCTATTGCGAATCAATATTATGTGTACGTCTTCTCTTTTTTGAATCCTTTGTGCACGCATCTGAATCCTTTTGCTGCATAGACTTGTAAAGCGCATGATCATGCTCGTCATACAATGTACACAATCAATGATGCAATGAATGTACACAATGATGTTCTGCTTGCAGGGGTGTAGTTTGCCTTTCAGTTGGGGGCTTCAGCCCTCTCTCCGCAACTTGGCCCTCAGCCCGCTCTCCCAACTTTGGGAAGAAAGTGGTCAAAGTCCGAGGAGAAACCTTGTTATATTTTGGGAGCATGTTGAGTCATTTTTTCACTTTTAAGCACCCCAAAACAGTTAACGAAACTGCGTTTCTTTCCCGTTGCCCCTCAGCGTGACGTCCGGCACCTAGCATCCCAACGTGCATTGAAATATTGGCGCCACTGACGTCACGCTAAGATTAAGCAAGAGATGGTTGGGCGGTCTCACCTCTTTTATGCGGCCTTGACTAGCGGGAAGAAACCGGAGAATCGTCTATTTACAGTCTCGGGGTGTGGGATTCGGGAGGGTTCTGGATGCCCTAGTTTTCTGGGTACCAAACGTCTGGCGGTAGGCCCAGGATCGCAGTTGACAAGGCAGTTGACTTTGTGGTGTTACGCTTGGGGCAGGGAAGGACATAGACACTGCGTGTTGGTTTGTCATCAAGACCCGACATTTAGGACGGGAGCCGCGTGCCGGTTTGCTGTCAGGACTCAGAGTATGTATCAGGTGCAATTAATGTTTTTCTGTCGTTCTAGAGAAATAATTTTTGAACACTTGTGGTTGGTGCAGTCTTCAAGTGATCCATTAAATATATAGTACTATACGGGTTAATGCATAAATATCCTGTCATGGTGTACTTTTGTTATGAGTTGTGTGCTTGAAATGCAAAAAATTGTCTATTTATTGTTATATAATGATCAAGTTTTTCATTGCTGTGCTGTTAAGCTGTATTCTTATGCCATTCACAGGAGATGGGTGAAATAATGTTGCCTCAACAATATAAAGAAGAAGGGAATAAGCTGTTTAAGGTAACTGCCATTCCAGGGTGAAAGACCATAACCTATTACCTATTAAACAACCTATTCATATAACTGTATTTTAATTGTGTATGTCTTTGTTGCTGATATGTGTCTTGATGTCTCTGCCATCCAGGCCGCCAAATATTGACACACTGTCTCCAGGGCATTTGCGGTCTCAAATCAGGATATCGTTATGGTGTGCATGAACATGACCTGGCCCTCAGATGGTGTGATTTCCATGTGTTTCAGGAAGGAGACTTTGATGGAGCTTTGGCAAGCTATACCAAGGCCATAGAATTAAGTACACATGAAGATAAGGACCGCCCAGTTTTCCTGAAGAACAGAGCAGCTGTACATCTGAAGAAAGAAAATTATGAAGCTGCTATCAGTGACTGCACAGAAGGTAACCATGTGGTCAGAATGGGTTGTCTTGCTTTCCTTCCAATTTACTGGTGGATGATCTGTTATTATTTTGCCATGCTTAAAATGTAGCTTTAATCCATTGGAATTGAAAATTTTGTAGTGTAGCCTTTTCTTATGAGCTTGAAAAGCTAGACATGCCTTAGCCTAAAAATATTCATCTAAGATCTTCATTTAAGCATTTAGCACTTACCAGCTAGGTCAAGCCAGGGTCACAGGTGATGTGAAGCAGCTGGATACTAGGCTTGGTCTTTGCTAGCAGATCTATGTTTGGGTCCAATTTCAGTTCATCCCTTTTGTCCCCCCTCCCCCCATGATTTTCAACTGTAGCAAACAAAGGTCATCCAAAAAATGATACATGGATAACATCGTGGTATGAGTTTGCTTTAAGCAGTACAAGAAAATGGGCTATAGCCTGCCTGTATGCTCATGACTGCAGCCCCCCTTGTGATCCTTGATGATGGGGCAGTCCACCTCTCTGCATCCCCTTGTCACCCGCGTTCCGCCAAGCTGGGCTGGGCTGACGGCCGCACTGCTGCAGTGCTGGAGCAGTCGCCTTACGAGCCAAAGGCGCTGTACCGGCGCTGCCAGGCGCTGGAGGCGCTCGGTCGCGTCCAGGAGGCCTACAGGGATGCCCGCCACCTGCACAACCAGCAGCCTGACAGCAGGGATGTGCAGCCACTACTGGCGCGCCTGCACAAGGCCGTGCAGAAACAGGTCAGCAGGCTGAGCTGGCTGGCACAGTACATCCAGGTCATGCTGTGCAGTATGGTAGGCAGGTGTTAAATCGGCTTGTTTCGATGGATGCGGTGCAGTCCAGGTGACGCATTGATGCCTTTGTCTGATGAGTCTATTATAGCTGACCCTTCAAACATCTCATGGTTGCAGGTGATGGATGTTACACCCATGTAGGCACTGACCTGCATATAATAGAGTGTCCTTGACCAAGCTGCATGCAAGATTCTGTTTTATTCGGTTTGGGCACAGTCATGTTTTTAATGCACGAAGGGGGTGGTTGAAGTCCAAGTACCAAACAGAGCGATTGAAATGACTCCTTTGTGGTACGGCTGCTTAAGTATCCATGGGTGCGCTAATGCATTTGCTCAATAAAAAACGGGCTCTAACGTATTAGTATGTACGTCTCTGAGACACGTTTTTATTCTCTCCGTGTATATGGTAGGTGCGACAGTAAGGAAATTAGTCTCTATGGTGGCAAAAAATGAGTAAGCAGGCATTGCCCCGGCAAAGCCTGTGCTCTAGCCGCGTGATTTATTATGTTGACACCTGACTTGTACGTTGGTTCTCATTCACCGCTCTTTTATTTCACAGATGGAGGAGAGTGCTCAAATAACAAATAAGGTACAGAACACATACAAGTATGTGTTTGATATTACACAGGAGAAGCAAAAGAGAGAAGATTCTGCAAACAACATGCTGGTCCTGGCCAAAGAAAGATCAGGTGAGAACAGACAGAGTGCTTTTACTCTTCATTGTCCCATATTGAAGTGCCTCTTGTGCTATTTCTGAGCAGCCTGAGAACGCTGGACTGTGACGTCATAGTGCCGGCCTCTGTGCACGTGAGTGGCCCTTCGCCATCGACAGCTGCTTCATTCCACGGCCAGGTGCGGAGGTGCTGATGTCGGAGGATGTCCACGTCAGAATTATGAACCAGCTGAAGATCGAGACGAACGAGGAGATCGCGGTGTCCTGCATCCGCGTGCTGGGACAGCTGTGCGTCGACAGCGAGGCGCGGGTCAGTACCAGACCCTCCGTGTGGGGCTGTGAGGTAGAGGGGCGCGGGTCAGTACTGGACCCGCCGTCAGGGGCTGTCAGACAGCGAGGCACGGGTCAGTACTGGACCCGCCGTCTGGGGCTGTCAGGCAGCGAGGCTCGGCTCAGCATTGGACCCGCCGTCTGGGGCTGTCAGGCAGCGAGGCACGGGTCAGTACTGGACCCGCCGTCTGGGGCTGTCAGGCAGCGAGGTCAGGCAGCGAGGCACGGGTCAGCACCGGACCCGCCGTCTGGGGCTGTCAGGCAGCGAGGCACGGGTCAGTACTGGACCCGCCGTCTGGGACTGTCAGGCAGCGAGGCACGGGTCAGTACTGGACCCGCCGTCTGGGACTGTCAGGCAGCGAGGCACAGGTCAGTACTGTACCCGCCGTCTGGGGCTGTCAGGCAGCGAGGTCAGGCGGCGAGGCACGGGTCAGCACCGGACCCGCCGTCTGGGACTGTCAGGCAGCGAGGCACGGGTCAGTACTGGACCCGCCGTCTGGGGCCGCCAGGGCAGAGAGGCGCGGGTCAGTACTGGACCCACCGTCTGGGGCTGTCAGGCAGCGAGGTCAGGCAGCGGGGCACGGGTCAGTACTGGACCCGCCGTCTGGGGCCGCCAGGCAGAGAGGCGCGGGTCAGTACTGGACCCACCGTCTGGGGCTGTCAGGCAGCAAGTTTAGGTAGCGAGGCACTGGTCAGCACCGGACCCGCCGTCTGGACCCGCCGGCTCAGTGGGGGCGCCGTTGGACGCCCTCATCGATGAAGGCGTGCGCGGTGGCTGGAGACGTGGATGGCGGCGTGCTATCTCGGCGCGCGCTCGTCGCGCTGCGTGGCAGCAGATGGGAGCAGTACAGGCCCGATAGATGGCAGCGCCGACGCCCACAGTCGGCGGCCTCCCCCGCCTGACCACGGTCGGCGCTGGCCGGTGCTGCTGCTGACGTTCCTCTCTCCTGACGTCTGACGTCTCCCTCCCTCTCCCCCCGGCAGAGTAAGCGCCTGCTGCGGGAGCTGGGCGTGCCCTGGCTGGTGCAGCTGCTCAACAGCGACAGCGGCTCCCGGGTGAACGCCGCCCAGTACCTGCTTCAGATCATCGTCAGCACGCTGGCCGGCATGGACGTCAAGGGCGAGAAGAAGGCCGACGCCGACAAGCTCAGGGGTACGCTGTGGCGGCGTGGCTGGGGAACGGCTCGGAAGGGGGGCTGGGTGGAGGCATGGCTGGAGTTGTGTACACTGATCGCCATAAAAAATCGCCTGTTAACCTATCGAGTGTGCTCGAGCATACTCGCGGCCCACAGAGATCGGGACTGATAGGTTTATAAGCTGAGACCATTTGTAAGCTGTGAGCAGTGGTGGCGTGAATCAGAAGGGATGCTGTGTAATCCAATGAAATGTGTTTGCATCCATGTGGCACAGGGGCACCACCATGATCGCCTCGGCTGACTCACGTCTCGTGCTAACAACCACGAGGTGGAGTCCTTCATTACTCTCCTCCGACGCGTCTGCCCCTGCTGCAGAGATTACGTGCAGTATGGAGTCTTTCATACCAGCGTCCTCTGATGCGTCTCCCCCGCTGCAGAGAACAAGCGTGAGGTGGACTCCGTGATGGCCGTGCTGGCGGTGACGACCAACTCGCGGGCGATGTCGGCGCGCGGCCGGGACGCCGTGCTGGAGCTGCTGCTCAAGAACTGCCCAATACAGGCGCTCAACTGGTCCTCGGCGCTGCTCGAAGCTGGCGGTGAGGAGCGGCAGCCGAGGAGCCTGGATGTCCGTCCGCGGCTCTGTGTCGGTTCGAGGCGTCCGTCCGCGGCTCTGTTTCGGCTCAAGATGTCTGTCCGCGGCTCTGTATCTGATCGAGGGTCCTAGGTGTCCGTCCGCGGCTCTGTGTCGGCTCGAGGGTCCTAGGTGTCCGTCCTCGGCTCTGTCGGCTCGAGGTGTCCGTCCGCGACCCTGTGTCGGCTCGAGGCGTCCGGCCACGGCTCTGTGTCGGCTCGAGGTGTCCGTCCGCGGCTCTGTATCTGCTCGAGGGTCCTAGGTGTCCGTCCGCGGCTCTGTGTCGGCTCGAGGTGTCCGTCCGTGGCCCTGCGTTGGCTCGAGGTGTCCGTCCGTGGCCCTGTGTCGGCTCGAGGTGTCCGGCCGCGGCTCTAGTGGCTCGAAGACCCCTTCGTCCAGCCGCAGCCCTGTGTTGGCTCGGGGGGCCCGGGTGTCCGCGATACGGGACGCACATCCAGTGTGTGACTTGTGTGATGTCGGCAGGTTTTCAGCGATGATCGATCTAGTCCGTTTGCATCGTAGTGACTTTGTCGAACTGCTGCAGTGGTCGGTGGTGTAAGCTGTCCGGTGTAACCCCGGACCGTGCAGACCACCATGGCCGATCTGTGTGCAGATTTTCGACGATGACACTAGACTCGTCAACTTTTAAAATGGGCGCAAATGAATAAGGCCCACATACCCAAATCACGTTGCTATTCGCTAAATAGCCGCCGCGTCGTCGGTAGCAATCAGGTACAGACAAATTATTTAGATTGAGCCATTATCTGCCAGCCGTGGCGTTATTTGACCGGAGTTGCGGCTGTTGCACAGGTGTGCAGCGTCTGATGGAGGTGGCCTCCGAGATGGAGGGGTATCGCCACGAGAGCTCCATGGACATCACCGACTCCACCCGCACCACGGTGGCCGTGTGCCTCTCCAAGCTGTACGAGGACATGTACTACGACAAAGCCAAGGAGCAGTTCGCCGATGCCGTTGACGACTTTGTCAAGTGAGGGCTGCGGCGGGTCCGGAGAGACCGCTCCCGTTTGGGGTGCTGCTATCAGTTCGTTATCGGACTTTGTGGAGCCAACGTTCTTCAAAAGCTGTTCTTCGTTTGGTGTATGAGCGATCATATAAGACGTTATCTCAGATTTGTAGCAGTGTGCTACGACATCATTCGTGTAGTCGGCTTTAAGTGGCGTACCCGAGTGGAGGTATGTATGTCGATGCGCCCGAAAACCCATCCCCTCATATTTTCTTGTCCTGAGAATGATATAAGTCCACCACTTGCTGTAATTTTCCAAGCGTTTCAAGGGTTCTAGCAGTGTTAGCACGACTTGCCTCCTCGTGTGGTGGGTGAACAATGACCACGTATGCTGGGAGCCCCACCCCATCCCAGTGCCCCCAGATGCGCCTGTGGCCACGTCGGTGACCGGGTGTGTGCGCGTCGCTCCGCGCTTCAGGTCGAAGCTGATCACGCCAGAGATCGAGGGCAAGGTGCGCGTGACGGCGGCCATCACCTGCCTCCTGCTGGGCCCGCTCGACCTCGGCAACAAGATGCTGGCGAAGGAGGGCATCCTCGAGATGATGCTGGTCATGGCCAACACGGACGACCTTCTGCAGCAGGTGGGCGCCGCACAGGCTCCATCAGGGCCCGCTGGGGGGGGGAGGGGGGGGGGAGTATCTCCACCAGGGCCCGCCGAGGAGGGAGCTCCACCAGGGCCCACCGGAGAGGGGCTTCACCAGGGCCCAGCGGGGTAGGGGACTCCGCTAGGGCCCACCGGAAGAGCGAGCTCCACCAGGGCCCGCCGGAGGAGCGGGCTCCACTTGGGCTCGCCGGTGGAGGGGGCTGCACCAGGACCCACCGAGGAGGGGCTTCACCAGGGCCCACCGAGTAGGGATCTCCTCAGGGCCCGCTGGGGAGGGAGCTCCTCAGGACTCGCGGGGAGATGGGCCCCATCCGTACCCGCCGAGGAAGGGGCGCCCTGTCTATTGAGGCGCCTAGGGTTTCACCAGGTCATCGGATCGTGTAGAGCCTGTGCTATCCGGGGCAGGATCACTCCTGTGACGGTTTGTCTGAGCGGAAAAATAGTTGTGTAACGTGTTGAAGCGGAATGACGTCACGGATCCAGTTGTGTGTGAAAGCTGGGGCGACCGCGTGACGTACGAGCCGGGCGGCGTAGCTTCGTTCGCAGCGATGGTACGTGTGGGCGGTCGTGGTGCAGCTGCCCTGACGCCGCCCGCTCCCTGCCGCAGCGCGTGGCATGTGAGGCGCTCATCGCGGCCGCCTCCAAGAAGGACAAGTGCAAGAGCATCCTGACGCAGGGCGTGGACATCCTGAAGCGGCTGTACCAGTCGAAGGACGACGGCATCCGCGTGCGCGCGCTGGTCGGCCTCTGCAAGGTCGGCTCGCTCGGAGGTACCGACGCGCTCATCCGGCCCTTCGCAGATGGCAGCACCATGAAGCTGGCCGAGGCCTGCCGCAGGTGAGAGATGAGAGCCGGCCGAGCTCTGGACGACCTGCCGTAGGTGAGAGACGATCACCGGCCGAGCTCGGGGCAGCCTGCCGCAGGTGAGAGACGATCACCGGCCGAGCTCGGGGCAGCCTGCCGCAGGTGAGAGACGATCACCGGCCGAGCTCGGGGCAGCCTGCCGTAGGTGAGAGACGATCACCGGCCGAGCTCGGGGCAGCCTGCCGTAGGTGAGAGACGATCACCGGCCGATCTCGGGGCAGCCTGCCGCAGGTGAGAGACGATCGCCGGCCGAGCTCAGGGCAGCCTGCCGCAGGTGAGAGACGATCACCGGCCGAGCTCGGAGCAGCCTGCCGTAGGTGAGAGACGATCACCGGCCGAGCTCGGAGCAGCCTCCCGTAGGCGAGAGACGATCACCGGCCGAGCTCGGAGCAGCCTGCCGTAGCTGAGAGACGATCACCGGCCGAGCTCGGGGCAGCCTGCCGTAGGCGAGAGACGATCACCGGCCGAGCTCGGAGCAGCCTGCCGCAGGTGAGAGGCGATCACCGGCCGAGCTCGGAGCAGCCTGCCGTAAGCGAGAGGCGATCACCGGCCGAGCTCGGAGCAGCCTGCCGTAGGTGAGAGACGATCGCCGGCCGAGCTCGGGGCAGCCTGCCGTAGGTGAGAGACGATCACCGGCCGAGCTCGGGGCAGCCTGTCGTAGGCGAGAGACGATCACCGGCCGAGCCCAGGGCAGCCTGCCGCAGGTGAGAGGCGATCACCGGCCGAGCTCGGAGCAGCCTGCCGTAGGTGAGAGACGATCGCCGGCCGAGCTCGGGCAGCCTGCCGTAGGTGAGAGACGATCACCGGCCGAGCTCGGGGCAGCCTGTCGTAGGCGAGAGACGATCACCGGCCGAGCCCAGGGCAGCCTGCCGCAGGTGAGAGGCGATCACCGGCCGAGCTCGGAGCAGCCTGCCGTAGGTGAGAGACGATCGCCGGCCGAGCTCGGGGCAGCCTGCCGCAGGTGAGAGACGATCACCGGCCGAGCTCGGAGCAGCCTGCCGTAGGCGAGAGACGGGGGCCGGCCGAGCTCGGAGCAGCCTGCCGTAGGCGAGAGACGGGGGCCGGCCGAGCTCGGAGCAGCCTGCCGTAGGCGAGAGACGGGGGCCGGCCGAGCTCGGGGCAGCCTGCCGTAGGCGAGAGACGATCACCGGCCGAGCTCGGGGCAGCCCTGCCGTAAGCGAGAGCCGATCGCCGGCCGAGCTCGGGGCAGCCTGCCGTAAGCGAGAGACGATCGCCGGCCGAGCTCGGAGCAGCCTGCTGTAGGTGAGATGGACGATCACCGGCCGAGCTCGGGGCAGCCTGCCGTAAGCGAGAGACGATCGCCGGCCGAGCTCGGAGCAGCCTGCGTAAGCGAGAGACGATCGCCGGCCGAGCTCGGGGCAGCCTGCCGTAAGCGAGAGACGATCGCCGGCCGAGCTCGGGGCAGCCTGCCGTAAGCGAGAGACGATCGCCGGCCGAGCTCGGAGCAGCCTGCTGTAGGGTGAGAGACGATCAACCGGCCGAGCTCGGGGCAGCCTGCCGTAAGCGAGAGACGATCGCCGGGCCGTAGCTCGGGGCAGCCTGCCGTAGGCGAGAGAGACGATCACGGCCGAGCTCGGGGCAGCTCGGGCCAGCCAGCCTAGGTGAGACGATCACCGGCCGATCGCGGGGCAGCCTGCCGCAGGGAGACGATCACCGGCCGAGCTCAGGGCAGCCTGCCGCAGGTGAGAGGCGATCACCGGCCGAGCTCGGAGCAGCCTGCCGTAGGCGAGAGACGATCACCGGCCGAGCTCGGAGCAGCCTGCCGTAAGTGAGAGACGATCACCGGCCGAGCTCGGAGCAGCCTGCCGTAGGCGAGAGACGATCACCGGCCGAGCTCGGAGCAGCCTGCCGTAGGCGAGAGACGGGGGCCGGCCGAGCTCGGGGCAGCCTGCCGTAGGCGAGAGACGATCACCGGCCGAGCTCGGGGCAGCCTGCCGTAGGCGAGAGACGATCACCGGCCGAGCTCGGAGCAGCCTGCCGTAGGCGAGAGACGATCACCGGCCGAGCTCGGAGCAGCCTGCCGTAGGCGAGAGACGGGGGCCGGCCGAATTCGGGACGACCCGGCGTGACGCGCGACTCGCTGTCGTCCCGGTATGCTGCTTCTGCCGGGTCGCCATTACGATTGCCCACCTGTGAAAACAGCGGTTTTTTGGTGATGGAAAAGTCTGGATGTGTGTAGCCAACGGTGTTGAATTTCCGGAGATGCATTAAATGGTTATAGTGCGTTGCCGTGCGCCAGTTGTCGCCCGCTATTTTGGCTCCATTCAAGTATTACTAGGATTATAAGAATTGGGCTTTTGTCTTCTTTGGGATGTTGACCATGGGAAGGTTTTGTACATACTGCCTTCGAATCGAGGATAATCGACAGATTATGAGATAGAATGTGGCACCATCCATCGAGCAAACTCCGGCTGAGTCGGTTCAAAGTTAGGATGTCCCCTGCGTTTGTTGCCCTCCTGGGACAAGCGGAGGGTATCAGAGCGTTACGGTGTAAAACCTACATGGGATTACGTGGTGTATGTACCGTTTGCAGCACTGACGCCACTTTTTAACACCATTTCTAACTTGTTGGTATTTCAGATTTCATCTCGTATTTATCACCTGTTTCTAGCTTGGGACGAAAAGTACGACTAGCCAGTCAGCGCGGGTTTTTTTACATGATTTCGCGGGACGGCGTGGGATTTCAGATTTGCGCTGCGTGGCCGGAAGGGTTATCATTGTCACAAAAACTGGCAGTTCTAGCTTACAACACAGCCGCTTCAGGGTGGCTGAGCACGCGGAAAAGACGCTACACGTCCGGTATGGAATCTGCGGACGTCACACAGATTCCTCGCCGTCCGGCCGTCACCAGACGACCAGACCGAGCCGGACGGCATGCATTCTTCATGACGTCCGCGGATGTTGTGCTGTCTGAGCTAGTCGAGCGCAATCTGCGTTGTTTTGTGTCTGGTTTGCGTGGATACCCGGCTTGGGCCTGACTCGCTGCGCCCTCGGCGCCGACGTGTCCGTTTATCGCCGTCGTCTCCGCCGTCAGGTTCCTGATCAACCCGGCCAAGGACAAGGACCTGCGCAAGTGGGCGACCGAGGGCCTGTCGTACCTGACGCTGGACGCCGAGGTGAAGGAGAAGCTGATCGAAGACCGGGCCTCCCTGCAGGCCATGCTCGGGCTGGCCAAGGTGAGCCCCGGCCTCGCCGGCCCTCGGCCAGGCCAGCGTCAGTCTCCCTCGGAAGAATACCGGCCAGGTGGTGGGCTGCTTCAAAATTGTACACGGGGTGACGAACACACGCCGGCAGCGTTGCACAGTCGACGAATTATGAAGTTTCAGGGGTGATTCTTTAGACGTGCTTCGCTGTGTTCTGGTCATTGTAGAAGCAAAAGATAAGTTTCGTAAATAGATAAAAGACCAAACGTAGTCACGGGTAGATTCCCATCGCGGGCTTTAGTAAAAGAAGTGATTCGGGCTTCAGCCTGCACGTCTCTTCAGCTCGCGGTGAATGAACTCAAGAGGTGCTTGCCATGCAGCTGTCTTGCAGGGTCCGAAAAATGGTACGCATCTGCTGAGCTGTAGGCTTCTTCAAACATTTTAAAGTCAAGCGGCTCCATATCATGTGCCAACCGACCTGGTCGCCCACATTATGCGTAAGTAATGTTACAGCCTGAGCCATCGTGGATTGATTATTCGGCGACGGCAGGGAATGCCGCAGGCATCGAATCCGAATGCCGCTCGAGACACGCGTGAGGCTGCCTGGCGCGGGCGGCGGTGCTTGGGTCAGCGGGGCGGTCAGTGCAGAGGGGGACGATCCTCCCCGCGGCGCCTTGTGAGTGGCGCTCCCGGCGGTTACGTCACCGCCGCGGCGCTCTGGTTGGCGGAGCGGTCGGCCGCGCGCGTGACCCCTGACGGACCGGGCCGTAGGCGCGTGACCTTGACCGCCGGCGATCCGCCGCGGTCATCAATGGTGGGACGGCGGCAGGATTATCTGTGTCGCTCGTTCTGCGTTAGGGGGGGGGGGGGGGGGGGTGCTGCAGGGAGGGGGTGCTGCGCGAACTGGGCCGATCACCTGACGGGTCAGGTAAGGTCACGCGGTCAGCTGAGCCAACTGCGGTCGAGTGGAGCCGTCGCGTCACCCGGCGCCACGGCTGTCAGCACTGAGAGATGATATTCCACTGCACGGCCTCGGTGTTTTTGCGCCGCCGCTTCAGGCTGGGGTCGTACGTGCGTGACAGCAGGCGAAGGGCACCGCATCTACCGCGACCGCATAGCTGGCGGCGCCGCCATATGACGGCTAGAACGCGCCGCGGTCGGGTGTCATGCTCCGAGATGCTTCGTGCTCCGCGCATGCCGGGAGCACGTGCTGCAGCACGAAGGCATCTGTTGTGCCGGACTCGGTGAGGTGCGGTTATCTCGTACTGCTCTGTCGTGACGTCGCTGGAGTTTTCGTTCGTACGACTGTCGTTTCGTTTGTGTGTCGTACGTTTTTTTATTTCGTGTGTCGTACGTTTCGTTTCGTACTGTGCGGTGGGGGAGGAGGTGACCATCCCGCTGGTGTACCGTACCGTCCCCCGGTCAGACTCCGCTCTTGGTGGAGGTGTGACCATCCTGCTGGTGCGCTGTACCGTCCTCCGGTCAGACTCAGCTCTGGGTGGAGGTGTGACCATCCTGCTAGTGCACTGTACCGTCCTGCGGTCAGACTCCGCGCTGGGCGTGAAGCTGAGGGTCGTAAAACGAACTGTCAAACCTTCCTGACAACCGAAAGCTCTGAACGCACCCGTTCTGCGGGCTGTGAAGGACTGTGGTAGTTCCGTCGTGTATGCTGACGGAACAATGTCGTGCCGGCCAAACATAGTGTTATTTTTTATCAGCTTACTAGAATACGGCTTGTATCTTTGTCCTGGGCTCCTCTACTGCCTCCCGTCGGTTTGGGAAATCGAAGAAAATGGTGAGCGACGTTTTTCGAAAAAAGAAAACTCGTGTTCGGTTTTCGTGCAATAGAGTGTAAAGTATTGCGAAACTGACTAAACCATCGTTTAGCCATCAAGTTGGGTTGCTGGCGTGCAAGCAACGCATCTGGGTCAGTCGTTCTGCTTTAGCGTCAAAATCGCACGTACGATTGTTTATCACTGGTAAGCAATGCTCCTAAAGTCTGGGAATCGCCATCAACGCGACTCAAAGAAGCAAACTCCGCCGTCTTCGCATCTTCCAGTAGATCATCGCGGGCTCTCCTGTCGAATGCGGGAGTAAGTTTGTTGTTTCACCACACCGTCGCCACTTAAAGATCGGTTTCGTTAAGTTGCCGACGCGTCATTCAGCCTCACTGCAGGAACACCAAACGCCGTCATGTGCGTTGACCGCGCGTTGGATGTGCGCCTGCTCAGGACAGGGTCGGGGCGGGGCCGGTCACAGAGGGGCGGCGATGATATGGCCACGGGTACGCCGCAGCTTTACTGACTATTGAATACTGACCACATTCCAAGTGGTACCTTCTCTTTCACGATTGATGCCCGTTATAAACATGCGAACCAAATGGCTGAAGCCAAGTTTTCTTGGTCGTCTGGTTGCACTGGACACACGCTACACCAGCGCGTATCAGATCTCCCGAGGCCCTAGCCGTGGTCGTAACCAGCACTGGGGCCGATGGGATCCGGACGCGGTACTTTTGATCTGATCGGATGTTTTGCCACATAGAATGACACCAACATAGGAATGAGCCCCAGTAACGTTCCAGGCGTGGCCACGTCCAGGGCGGCATGCCGTGCCCGAGGCATGGCTTCCGCTTCCCGCCGGAGGGGGAGGGGGAGGGGGCAGTCACAAGCGAAGTGGTCCGTCAGCCGGCACGGCAGCTGGAACACGAGATGCCCGATTCCCGCTCCTGCTGCCTGGGGAGGGACTCCCGCCAGTTTTGGACCCGGCGAGCACGCGGCGCTCCACCGGGCGCCTCACCCCGACGCCGGCTCGCGGTAGAGGCGTGCCGACCTAACCGGAGCCGGACGCTGAGTATTACATGTCGCCCGCCGCAAAGTCTGGGTCCGAAGTCGTTTCGATCCACTTCGGGAAAAGGCAGTCAGTGACCTGGGGCTGTTCGTTCGGCTCTGATCGTTATGTCACGTGACTACGTGGACGTGATTAAATGATCTGCCGGGCACCGTGTTGTTATGCACATTTGTCGTGACCCGGGCATTCGTGTACGCTTCTTCCCCAGTGATGTGGGTTAATACGACATGTAACGTCATCGGGAACGGCAAGGTTACAAAGAATAGCTGTCGCATGCCTCGGTTCTGTAGGTTGAATTGAGCAAATAAAAATCGTTTTGACAGCTTCTTCATGGGGTGATTGGAGGCGTTCTTTTATAGGAGAAGACCGCAGCTCAGTAATGACATTTAGCATGTCAAATGAGTAGAACCACGGACTGGACTGCAACTCAACAATTACAACTAACATCATAAAGACGTAAAACCACGGACCGTCCGGAATGGACAAGTGAGCCCTAAAGCTTGTCGAAAACCTTGAAAATTAATTGTGTTACATTCTAGGACGCAACAAGCAGGACTGATATCTCCAGTTTTACGGATAAAATATCATATTGCGGTGTTGCAGCGCATGACCAAATGGCAGGCGAAGCGGGCAGGCACCAGCCGGCCGCACGCTGCCGGCTGTCGTCGGGTTACAGCGTGCTGCACACATGCCGAACGAGAGGTCGGCTGCGGCCGCTCGTGGACCGCCCGTTTCCTCGGGCGGGCGTACGCTACCGCTGCGTGCCGCGGACGTACAGCACGGCGATAACGAAGGATTCATTGTTGACGATATTGGGGCGTGCCGTGCGCGCTGCCGACCCGCCCTGCCTCGGCCACCCCACCGCGAACGCGACGGTCGGCGTGCGTCTACGCTGCTCGCGTTCCCGCTCCGTGTGACGTGATACGTGAAGGCTGGCCATATATTCTGTACCTTTTGCACATATGTCAACCCACGTTTCGATGCATCTTACACCAACTGGCACCCACAAACATCCGATTGCCCATCTACAAGCTTCTGATTGCGCTTGCGCTGGGCGTGACCGAACTAGACGTCGGAGCATCGACGGCGGCTTCGACGCAGCCGTGCCAGCCTCCGCAGCCCGCTGGCCAGCCCGCGCTGTCGTGGTGTGCTTGCTCTCCCTCCATCGCGAGGCCTCCGCCGCCGTGCCGCGGCGAGGCCGGTCCGCCAGCTGTCTAGAAGATGAGCTGGCCGCCGCGCCGCGCGTCAAACTGACCCGAGCGCTGGTTGAACTGGTCGTCGATGCGCACGCCGGCGTTCTCGGCCCAGAACAGCTCCGGGTGCTCGGCCCGCAGCTGGGCGTACTCGGGGATCTGCGCCGGCGCCACGGGCAGGTGCGCCGCCCGCGGCTGGAAGCCGCCCTCGTCCGACACGTACGCCACCTGGTACGTCTGGCCGTCGTCGCCGACGTACTCGAACGATCCCTCCATGGTGATGGTGCCGGTCTCTGGCTGGCTGCCCGGCTGCACTCGGCCCACCTCCTCCATCTGGCGGCCGGAGGTGCGGGCAATTGGGCACGTGGTGGTGGCGGCGGTGAGGTGGGGACCGGGACCGCGCGACCGACACGGCACTGGGACGAGGCCGGTATGAGACAGGCCGGCACCGCGGGGAGGGCTGTTCTAGTTTAGGCAGGCTGAGGTAGTAACAAGGCTTGGCAGACACGGCTCTTGTGCTGCGACTATCTCCTGGCCGTGCCCCGTCTCCTTAGCTGTTTAGCACGCGATTGATGTGAACGGTTTCAACGTCTGTGCAGTTTGTCACTATCCTTGCCACGGTCGTAATGAGCACGTCAGGCTACAAAGGGGCGCTTCACTCCCTTCTCTGGGGACAAGCTATTCCCCGCAGGATGTTCGACGTGCCTATCCTGTCCGTGTTCGGACGCGCCACCCACCCACTCAAATCTACGATGGGGCCCACCTCGCACCAACAGCCAAACCCCCTGCCTGCCCGGTCACGAGCGCCCGTCCCTTGCCGTCACGGTGGCGGGCCGGGAAAAGAACTGGACGGGCTGTTCGCTGCCCATTCGCGACACGTACCTTCTGGCCGTTGTCCTGTTCGTAGGCGTACTCGTAGTTGCCCTCCTGGTCGGTGTCGAAGCGCTGACTCAGAATGCGCACCTCTGGCTGGCCGACCGACACCAGCCGGTTGTTCTGCAGGAACTGCTGCGGTGCGGCGGCCGCCGCCGCCACCAGACAGCATAGCACCAGCTGGGGGGCGGACGGGGGCGTAACATACCCTGACCGGCGAACAACATCTACCTGACACACCCCAACATCTACCTGGCGGACGGACAACAGCCGTCTGACACCCTGACGGACGGACAGTAATGACCTGACAACCTGGCGGGCAGCCGCCTGACACCGCCCGGCAGACAGCCGCCTGACACGCCCTAGTAGGCAGCCGCCTGACACACCCCGGCGGGCAGACGCCTAACACACCTCGGCGGACAGCCGCCTGACACCCCCAGGGAGAACAGCCACCTGACACAGCCCGATGGACATCCGCCTGGAAAACCCGAGGAGAAGAGCCACCCGACACAGCTCGGGGGCAACACCGGCCCCGGTAACCTGGCACAGCCCAGGAACAACAGCGGCCCGGGCCGCCTGACACATCCCGGGGAGTGCATTTTCCCGCGTTTTGGTGCATTATGCTGCGCGTAGTATTGCTCTGCAGTACTGCTGTTATTACGATGGGTGGACTAATTTTGGGGATGCCCTTTTTTGCGCCCCGGTAATGTACAATGTCTAACAGGCGTTGTACTCGGCCACATGCTGCGCTCTCCGCGCCCGCCGCCCGGCCTGCGCCCCGCAGACTGCCCTCGTCCCCCTCCCCAGCTGGTCCGCGGGCCAGCCGAGCCGTCCGCGGACTCATCTCACCGTCTGGGCCATCTCACCGTCTGCATGTTAGCTCGGTCGGGGAGAACGGGGACGGTGTGCAGCGTGGGACGGTCTGCCGGTCGACTGGTGCCTGCTCTGCGCCGGGTCGCCCCTTATACCCGGCCTGACCGGGGCCGGCCCGGCGCCGGCGCCGGGCCGGGCGCGCCGTCAGCGAACGGGCGCCGGCCGGCGAGGGCAGCCGGCTCGCCTTGCTTCGCGGCATCCGTGAGATGACCCGGCAGAAAAACAAGGCGCGACTTTATTTTGGGTGAGAGTTGACTCGAAGGAACAAAATTGTATTGCGCCCAAATGTCCGTAGTTGTATACTGGGTGGGCTCTGAGTTTTCTTCCTCGCATAATCTACTAGTCGGCCGAAAAAAACAACTTTTTAGTGTTTTCATCTATAATACTAACGAGAAAATGAGCTATTATTTTCTGTATACATATATATATATATATATATATATATATATATATATATATATATATATTCCCAGATACGGCAGTGCATAACCCGTTTTGTCACCGGGGGGGGGGGGGGGGGCTAGGAAGTACGAACGCCTCATTGTGCGTAGCCCAGGAACCGGTTCTGCTTCAAGATTGTCACCATATGGATCATCCCCCTGTTGATCACATCTAAACCCGCGATGCATCAAACATTCTCCGGATACCACCGGATGCGGTGGGTGGCGTAGGTTGGCTGCGAGCTGTCTTACTATCTCTTGAAGAACTCACGATCCCGACCCACCGGATGGGCGTCAAATAGTTCACGAAGCTGTTCGTTCAGAGCATCTGGCCCTCCTTCGACCCTACGTGAACCGCAGTTGTCATTTGTCTGTAGTATCACTGGTGACATGCATGTTTCAAAGCGACTTCACATAAGTTCCATGCTCAAAGTGATTTTACGTGACATGCATGTTCAAGGTGGCTTCACTTGACATCCGTGTCCAAGGTGGCTTCACATGATATGCATGCTCAAGGTGACTTCACATGACATTTTACGTCCAAAGTATGAGGACGTTGAAGAAAAACTGCGTCGTTCATATCTGCCGTTCGAGAGCAGCATTTCTGGACATAACGGCGGCCAATTTTCTCTCAGTCAGTGTCGTGCAAGGTACGATGACATAACCAAACGTGGCGTATTGAGGAGCATATATGCTGAACAGAGGGTTGCGCTGTCTAAAGCAGTCTTGTCTACTTAGAAATGTACCAATAGTTATAAGTGAGCTTGTTTCATCACATCTGATGCCTGTTGCAACGTCTTTAATTGCGGATCATTCCCTTTCACACGCGCTCGGGTGGGGGTCAATTCGACCCCCACCCGAGCGGGCTCAAACTTCACACATGTTAGTGATGGCTGACTTCACATGACAGCCATTACTAACATGCGTGAAGTTCTGCCACTCAAAGGCCACGGTACTCGTAAAGAGTTGAGTGATCAAGTCGGTTTTAAGTTGATTCCTCTCGACACAACGTCGAAGTATGAGCGTTGATTCTTTTCCAAAGTCGTAATAGGTTCGGTTGCGTTAGCTAGGTCCTCCCGTGCAGCGTCATAGGGTTGGTGTCAGTTTTTTTTCGAGAGCCTTGAGAGCTTTGGCGACCCTTCGCGCCCCACGCCCTTCAATTTGCCACCCGTGCTTTTGTTCCAACTCGGCTCTTGGCTGTTGTGTCATGCGCAACCGCTTCTTGTGGTACTTCGTGCTTCGCCGATGTGTCCGTGCCGTCCGTTTACAGTTGTGCCAGGCGCAGCCGCGTGCTGTCCCGTGTCTCGATGTGCGGCCGTGTGCTGTTCTGTGTCTCGGTGTGCGGCCGCGCGCTGTCCCCTGTCTCTGTGTGCGGCCGTGTGCTGTTCCGTGTCTCCGTGTGTGACCGCGCGCTGTCCCGAGTCTCCGCGTGCGACCGTGTGCTCCCTGTGTCTCGGTGTGTGACCGCGTGCTGTCCCGTGTCTCGGTGTGTGGCCGCGCGCCGTCCCGAGTCTCCGCGTGCGACCGTGTGCTGCCTGTGTCTCGGTGTGTGACCGCGTGCTGTCCCGTGTCTTGGTGTGCGGCCTTGTGCTGCCTGTGTCTCGGTGTGCGGCTGAGTGTGCACCGCTGTGTCTATCCCGTCGGTCCGCAGTTGTGCCAGGCGCGGCCGCGCGCTGCCCCGAGTCTCGGTGTGCGGCCGCGTGTGCGCCGCGTCTCGCGCACGTCGCCTCCTCCCCTCCCCTCCCGTCTTTCGTGATGAGTGAGGAGAACACCGGCTGATGGATGTGCCAGTCCGCGAGCCAGCTCTGCTTGTTTGCCTGTCTGTCAGACGGCCAGCCTATCGTGCATTATTGGCTGCTGCGGGGAATGCCATTCAGCGTAGAAACGACAGCCTCTTGTGCGTGCAGATGAAGTGGCCCGCTTTGATGTGGGCCGGTCTGCGAGCTTGCAGACCGATGCGATGCAGACCGATGCGCATCATTGGCGAGCAATGTTGTTATGGGTGACTTATGGCGGATATGCGAGTCGTAGGATTAACAGCGATGGCGACTGAGTTATGCCGGGTGCGTCATACGGTAACATGAGAAACGATTACGGCACCGGCCGATGACAGATGGGTCTGACATCTGGGATTGGTGTTCCGGCTTCGGATGATGTTGTTTTTCATTCTCTGTGCGTTAGTCAGCAGTGGGCTCGGTCACGAGCTACGTCCGTTTGTTCCGGCTTGTCCGGTAATGGAAGTCTGAACAGTTGGTGTAGGTCTGATCGCTATCAACATCATCGCACATGGATCGCAACTATGAAACAATAAGCTTGAGTTAAATACGTAACCTGCTGTGACTTACCTGGGATGCGTTCCGTATCCCTTTTGCCCTGAATGTTCTGCTTACTTTGAAACGAGCAGGAGCATGTACCGTGGCATGGATTGCATATAGTGGGTTTTACTTATAGAGTTTATTGTTTCAAATGCATTGCTTGTCCGCTTTTGTCTTCCTCGGATCGATGCGTAAAAAGTTTAGTAATATCTCAACAGAATCGTTGTGAGATGTGCTGTGCTAGGCTCTGTGATATCTCGCCGAATTTATCATGGCAAGCTGCAATTTGAAATTTGTTTTAAGATGCAAGTTGGAATATTGTTGCCGGCTACAATTTATAACACTTTTGAAAATGCTTTATTCGTAAATTAGAACTTACTGTTTTTCATGTCATTCAAAACTACAGGATAAGTGTAGAATGCATAGGGGTAGGCGGCAGGAAAATTTAAATTTTTGCACGTTTTTGGGAAAACACAAAATAGAAGCCCCTTTTGGCACGCCTATTACCCGAAAGCGCAGTGTTGAAATCACGGTTTTGCATGATAACGCCCGATTAATTGCTTAAGGACAGCGCGTTCGGTGGGCATTAAGTTTACTACACTTCCAGTGTGCACTCCGTATCAATTCGTCATTTCTGTGTACATGAGTGACATCTAACCCCCGTCCTATGCTGTCTGTCAGCGTGTAAACTATCATCTTAAGTGTCCTTCACCCCGTCGCGACAGGTGTCCGTTGACTTGAATTGTGAAAGGCTTTGGGGAGGGCACTACATTGAGTAACGGACAGCAAGTGGCTGGGATGTAGTTATTATGAATGGACGTTTTTGCGTCAGCCGCGCACAAAATGCGGGTTTTTCGCCCGCAAGTTATCTCACGAAAGCAATCCTTTGAGATTGATATGCTGCGGGATGCATCAACGGCATGGACTTGCATGCTAACATCCACCTCGATTCTCCCATCTGGTATCTATCTACAGAACTGTGTCACGATAGTCGAAGAACTGCCGAAGCTCGACACCTCTGGCATGTTTAAAGATGTCGTGGGCTTACTTTCACTGATGCCTGCTTGTGGCAGGGCTGTTGGGAACGTTATTGCCAGGTAAATGGACGACGTGGGCTGCTGCTGCCAGGTGAATTCTGCCAACACCCACTCACGCGCACACCCAGACATTGTGATGGATTCAAGCCCATGTAGGAAGGGCGGAGTACGCTGTAACCCGTCTGCTTCGCTGACAAGCTTTTGTGGCTTCAGAGCCCTTAGTTCGGTTAGATGGTGCAGTATTGCGCGAACTACCCGACGTTGCTCTTGGCGTGGCTCCAGTGTGTTAGGTAGCCGGGACCAGTGAGTGCCCTCGCCTGACCCAGGCGAGGCAAACGGCTATCCCACGGGAGTCTATTAGACCCTGGTGACGTTCTGGCTGTTCCGGCCACCACCGACCCTTTCAGTGCCAGGGGATGACGGGAGGGGGGGGGGGGGGGTAGGGGTGGCTTAAGGCTGCGCCGCTGTCCCGACATACATCTGACATGGAAGCTGGATATGCGCAGGGAACCCAAACGAGGCCTCTCTGTGCGGCGGCCTGGCTGCTGCCGCCCGGGCGGGATCGCCAATCAAAGCTGCCGTGAGGCCGACGGACGGATGCGGCAGAGGCTTGGTAACGAGAGGTGAACGATGAAACGGGGTTAGAGGAGAAGAGGGCGGATGAACCAGATCCCTAGCGGTCGAATAGGTCAGGATTGTCCTCTCTAGTGCAAGGAGTCCACGACTGAACTGGCCCGTATGGGTCGCCCAGATCAGAGGGCGTCCATTTCCCCATGATGGGAGTGCCCGTCAGTGGCCCGGCCGGCAGGAACCGCGCAAGAGCGGCCGCCCTGCTCCGAGGCGGAGAGACCCGCCCGCTCGTCTGCCCCAGGGCCTCCGCCGGAGTACTGTTCCGCTCCAGGGCAGAGGTCGGTGCGTCCTCGGCTCCCAAGGCTGATGGTACGTGCCGCTCTCCGTCCAATCGCGTTTTTGCCGGCGGACGCGACGGCCGCTCTGTCGGCAGCGTGGCGCGCGCCGCTTTTTGCCTCCGCGGGCGCAGGATGGGACGCGCACCGCCGCCGCAAATGGCATCTCACGGACCGTCGCCCTGCTTGGCCGGGGTTGAGAACACGGTGTGATCAGCGCGTGGCCCGACCCCATCGCGGGCTTGCGCGGCTCGTACCCGCTGTCCTAGCACGGGCCGCTGGCCGGCAGCGGTCTTCGCGTTTCATTGGAAGTCGACAAGCTCATGAGGACCTCTCTTACGGATCAGGTCCCGTCAGCTCTGCGCGTTTGCACCGTTAATACTTGATTTTTGTTCGTTCCCTTCCATTCTCCGATCGTCCTGTAACCAAATCAGGGTATTGAGACCTGAATAAGTGCAAACGGTATTGTGTTTTTGCGTAACCTTGGCGTAAAAATATGGAGCGGAGAAAGCGGCATGGAAGATAGCGAGGACGCTGTATCGTCGGAGTGTAGTTCGCCGATAACGGGCAGGTGTTCTACGGCTGTGACGGGCATTTATTGGGACTTCGCTGTGACTGATGAAGGGGATTAAGTTTTCTGTCTGCAAACCAGCTGGCGTGTGCCCCGTCTTTAGCATTGGCCCCTTTTTGCCATCAGCTGTCCCTTTTCCGCATCGCGCATTCTCCTCTTTATCATGCGAAGAAATATCTGTGCTTCCGAATCCCAAGCCGTGCGTATCCGTGCGCATGTTCCTCAGTTGTCAGCTGGATCCTAGGTCACCAGATTAATCCTCGCTTCACAGGGGGAGACCAGAGTCCCCTCAGATTTCCCATTCTGATTAGTTATGCACGTCGCTGAAACTTGGGTTCCTGCGCTAACATCATTTTTACACAATTTGTGAAAATGTGAAGCTGCTGACCTCAACGGTTGATGATTTGTGGATTTCTTGGGGTCATGTCGGTGACGTTTTGCACGAAAGCGGCAAATATTGGTTACTATTCGCAGGAACGCATCCCATCAAGGATGTTTGGAGTCTCCGTTGTTTATCTATTTAACTTTTGAAGTGCATTAGTATCGTTTTGGTGGCTTTTCAGGGTCAGGTCATCCAAGCTCAGGCTGGGTCAAACTTTGACCTTTGCAGTCGGATTTGACCGTTTGAAAGTCGTGGGTTTTCAACCTTAATGACAAGTATCTTATGGCTTGAGAAGGCCTTTCTCCCCATTGATATGAGTCGATCATGCTCTCTCCATTGATGTGACTTATGTAGTTCTTAAGGCAGCCGAACGAGCTAATCCAACAATCAGTTCCACCTCTGTGACCTAACATGACATCACAGGTCACATGTGTTGTCCCCTAGTGTTTGCCTGATTCGTGTTCCGGCGCATTTGCAACGACGTCTTCCACATCGTATGTAATGTTTAGTTCTTGAGATAACGGGATATATATATATATATATATATATATATATATATATAGATAGATATAGATATAGATATAGATAGATATATATATATATATATATATATATATATAGATATAGATAGATAGAGAGAGAGAGAGAGAGAGAGAGAGAGAGAGAGAGATATATATATATATATATATATATATATATATATATATATATATATATATATATATATACGAGGGGTTGATTTGGCCATTTTGACCTGGTTGAACGGCTTAAGGTTACACTAACCACTTTTAAAACACGTTTGTCTGATGTGGTTTGACGAAAACGTTCCAGTGCTGTTTTCCGCATGACTGGTGTTCTTAATTATCTAGGTCTTAGGTGTGGGGCGGGGATCTGCGGCCCTCTCCTTGTAGGTCGAAGGTGAACAACTCGCATAGTTTAAGGGTTAAACCGCCAAATCAAACGAATATCAATTTCTTTAAACGGCCTCTTCATTACCTAATGTCCGAGGCTATGTACGCGCGCCCTTGTCATTCGTTAGCGGACGGCGGGCCGTGGCGGCCGGCTCCGACCAGCAACGTCCTCCCCTGCCGCTCTAACTGGCGTCGTCCTCTCCTGTCGCTCTAACTGGCGTCGTCCTCCCCTGCCGCTCTGACCAGCGCTGTCCTCCCCTGCGACTCTGACCGCTGTCCTCCCTGCGACTCTGACCAGCGCTGTCCTCCCCTGCGACTCTGACCAGCGCTGTCCTCCCCTGCGACTCTGACCAGCGCTGTCCTCCCCTGCGACTCTGACCAACGCTGTCCTCCCCCTGCGACTCTGACCAGCGCTGTCCTCCCCTGCGACTCTGACCAGCGCTGTCCTCCCCTGCGACTCTGACCAACGCTGTCCTCCCCTGCGACTCTGACCAGCGCTGTCCTCCCCCGCGGCTCTGACCGACGGCGCCTTCCCTCTCCGGCAGACCGGCGACCACTCGGTGGTGTACGGCGTCGTCACCACGCTGGTCAACCTCACCAACAGCTACGACTCGCAGGAGGTCATCCCGGAGATGATCGAGCTGGCCAAGTTCGCTAAGCAGCACATTCCCGAGGAGCACGAGCTCGACGACGAGGACTTCGTCACCAAGCGGCACGAGGTGCGCCGCCGCCGCACGGTTGGGCCGGGTGCTCGTCACAAGAGGCGGGACGACGAGTGCGGTGCTTTGTTGGCGTGGACACGATGACTTACGTTCTGTATGTGGATCAGGCGATTGGTTTTCAGAAGCTGGTGGAGAATGACTAGAACAAAGCCACTGTTTGTAGTCGCCTTGCATCTGTGGAGTCCGTGGCGGGAAGGTGAGCTCTGGTTATGAATTCACACCGTTAAGTCCGTAATCACGCATGGATAATTTCGGTCTTACGCCGCTATGGCTTTCGTTGATGATAAAGTTGTCTGCAAAAAAAACGATGCTCTTTTGAGACGCATTTTGTTGCGGCTTCTTACACCAGATCGTTTTTGCCTGTATCACTGCAAACAAATTTTCCAGACAGCCAGGCGACTGCCGTCGCATGTCGATTATTGAAAAACTAATTGCTGATCAAGTCAGGCCGCATGGGTTATCAAGGTTGAAATTTAATGAATTTAATAGTTCAAAAATTTCCGTCTCGGAGACTTTCAAAAGGCCTCAATTCCATTGTAGCCCATAGTCCTCGCGCGACCTTTTGAAATGTTGTTAACTTCGAGGAGAGACGTTCGGTCTGCTCTTCTTTTTCTAGACCGCAATGTGGTGTCAGTTTCCCGACGTGTGTGCCGACCGGTGAACGGTCTGCGATGTTCCTTCCGGTCACAGGCCATTACGGCGTATCACGTATTGGTGGGCGTCGGCGACGTGACTCCGCCGTGCGAGTCCGGCGTTGTGAGGGTGTTGCCGGTCCGTCTCGGCGGCCGGGCGTGGACCCACCGCCCGCTCACGCCGGCCGCCCGCCGCCAGGTGCTGTGCAAGGAGGGCGTGACGTCGGCGCTGGTGGCCCTCGCCAAGACCGAGAGCCAGAACAGCCGCGAGCTCATAGCCAGGTGGGCCCGCGCGCCGGTGACTGTGCTGACGGGGGCGGTCACCGCACGCCGACTCTTGGGTCTGACCTCGGGTCAGTTCGCGCCCGCGCCACTGTAGCAGACGTGTTGGCCTTTGGTCGCCAGCGAAGGATCAAGATGCGGAGGCTGTTGATGAGGCCTCGGTCAGGCCTCATCAACAGCCTACGCGTTATCACGCAGTTGGAATGATATGACTGGTAATCCTCCCAAGCACGCGTGGCGTGGAGGGCGTGATGGTCGTGCGGTGACCATACACGTGTACTCGGGCATGTGGAAGGCGTGCTGATACGTAAATGGCCTCGGCTAGCCGGTCTTTTCCTATCGAGGTATGTCGATTTTCACGGCGCTGAGATTGATGCCAGCTTTTTGTGGCTCGCTTCCCTGACCTCCGCACGCGACAGCCTACCTGCCCGGCTCAGCGCTGTTGCAGTGCGTTGATCGGCTGAGTGAACGGACACCAGCTGCGAATGATGCAGCATCGTCGCGCTGTGTTCCCGTGCCGTAGGCTTTGAACTGCCGCTGTATGAACTGTTGCTGTGTGAACTGCTGTTGTGTTTCTAGTAGAGAAGTGCCCGTCTCTCTTGTTTCTGAAACAGCTTTCACTCTATATAATTACTGGTATCCCACCCTTGCCAGCGTTCCGTCCCTGAGCAACCACGCGATTCGTATCAAATGAAATATTCCGAAACACCTTGTGCGACCTGAACCAAGTCCTGCACAGAACCGGACGCCGGAACCCATGGAGGCTTGCTTTCGTCCAGTCTCCCACCCGTAGCGGGTTGAGCGGGAGGGATAAGACGGCGCGCACTCTGACGATGATCGCCGGAAGGATGCGGGCCGTGGCGGTCTCAGCTGACTGTGACCCCCGGCAGGGTGTTCAACGCGCTGTGCGGCCACCAGCAGCTGCGCGGCACTGTGGTGCAGCAGGGCGGCGCGCGCGCGCTGATCGGCCTGGCGCTGGAGGGCACGGCCAAGGGCAAGAAGCAGGCGGCGCAGGCGCTCAGTCGGATCGCCATCACCATCAACCCGGCGACGGCCTTCCCCGGACAGCGGGTGGGTCAGCCGGCGGCGGCGGTGGGCTCCGACAGCTGGCCGAGACCGAGGTGGCGGCGACGGCGGCGGGCACCAGCGGCCGGTCGGGGACCGGGCGGCGGCAGGGACAGCGACGGGCTCAGGGGCCGATGGGGGATCGCGGCGGCGGAGGGGACCGGGCGGCGGCAGGGACAGCGGCGGGTTCAGTGGCCGATCGCGGACCGAGGCGGCGGCGGGTTCAGGGGCCGGTCGGGGACCGAGGCGGCAGTGGGAAGGCGGCGGGCCCCACGGCCGGCCGGAATCGGCCCGGCGGGCGGAGTCCAGCAGTTGGGCTGAAGTGCTGGGTTGAGTATGTGAAGGCTTGGACGCCCAGTGTGATGGATGTGCGGCTGAGCAGCCTGTCGTGGACAGAAGGATAGGTTGTTTGGCCCGCTGTTTCGGCGTGATGTTTGAGTGAGATGTGTGCTGGCGCTGACCGACTGTCGTGCTCCGGTTGGTCCGGCCGCCCACTGACTGCCGTCCGTCGCCAGGCGTGCGAGGTGATCCGGCCCGTCCTGGCGCTTCTCCACCCTGAGTGCACGGCCCTGGAGAACTTCGAGGCGCTCATGGCCCTCTGTAACCTGGCTGGCATGAGTGAGACCGTCCGGAAGAGGTGTGTCCGTGGCGCGGGCCAGGAGCTGGCTGGACGGCGTATAACTCCGCTGCCTCTCACGGTGGCGTGTTTCACGAGTTGCCACGTGCTCCGTTCGTTTTGCTACCACAAAAGAAAGGACTGAAGTGTGGTGCAGTTTGGGGTCATGTATCGCCGGTGTGTTGTTGACTTGACTCTCGGAGAGTTTCGAACGACCGCTTGCATCTCTGGTCGGCGTGGCCCTGTCATCTCCGCCCCGCGCCGGACGCCGGACGAGCTTTGCGGACCGTGCGAGCTAGCTAGCTAGCCAGGCGGACCTCTCCCAGCGGCCGCCGGCTGTTCACGGCGCGCCACTGACCGCCGCCCGTCTGCCACCAGGATCGTGAAAGAGAAGGGCCTACCCAACATCGAGAGCTACATGTACGAGGAGCACGAGATGCTGCGCCGCGCCGCCACCCAGTGCATCTGCAACCTGGTCAGCTGCGAGGAGTACGTCGTCATGATGGAGGGCGACAACGACCGGGTCAAGTTCCTGGTGCTGCTGGTGGGCGAGGAGGACGAGGACACGAGCCAGGCGGCGGCCGGCGCGCTCGCCATCGCCACGTCACTCAGCAAGAAGGTCTGCCACAAGGTGGGTGCCCGGCCGGCGGGCGTCTCAGAACGTCGACGAGCGTGATGAGTTGCGGGCGTGCTCCGCGCGGCGGCAGCGCCACCGGCGGACCAGGGGGAGTGCGCTGTACCCCTCGCCAAACGATGACAAACGTGTTTGTATGCCCCTTGAAATTGCACGAGGCCCATCAAGCCGATAAGAGGCCCCATCATGCCGATGGGAGGCCCCATATGATCTTGATGGAATACGCCATCAACTGACGAACATGAAATTCCAGCCAATCATATAGAAAACGCAAAACTGTCAGCCAAATCAGTCAAAACTGTCAAAATTGTCTTGTCTTTCACAATTCCTATCGGTTTAAGTTATGCTGAAAGTGATCGTGCTAAAAGCTGCAGTGTTTCAGAATGGTAGCGCATCATTTTGCGGGATAAACTAATGCAAAACAGTTTGAACAGGCTCTAGTGATTTCGTTGCCAGTATTTTCTAACTGGTTTGGAATTTAACCAGCCAGAAGAAACTGTCAGTTGGGTGCTGTCAAGTGCCCGGAGCTAGCAGTGCCGCCCAAGCCTGAAAGTTAGACTGCACCAGCGATGGACGAGCAGTGTGTATTGCTTCTTGTATGTACACAATAATCTAGTCCGTGCAACTTCCTTACAACGTCTGACATCTTACATTTTCGGCAGCCAGCCCATACTATTATTGTTGCTCTTATGTTTTGCTCAGTGCACCAGGGTGAGACTATCAGTTATACTTAACGGGTAGTTGTAGTGTTGTGTTGTCCCAGTTTCCTCTATGTACAGTGTGCTCTTCGGCACCTGGGCTTCTGCCAGTGTCTACCATCAGTAGTTTTTCCACCTGATTTAAACCGGTAAAAATCGGCCGGCAGGCTGCCGCCGACGCCGGCTGGGTCGCCATCTGCCACGAGCGCAGACTGTACCCGTGTGACTGATGCGTGTGGCGCCCGGCGCGCCCGGCAGGTGCTGGAGGTGTCCTCCTGGCTGGAGATGTTCCGGCTGATGCTGGCCAACCCCCGCGAGGACGTGTGCCTGCGCGGCGCCGCCTGCACCCTGCACATGATGCAGGCCGACCGTGGGGTGGCCGAGCGGCTCGTGGAGACGGACATCGTCGAGGTCCTGATGGCGCTCTCCAAACTGCCGCCCGGTGAGTGGGGCTGCCGCCACCCAGGGCCGGTGCGCCCCGGCTCGGTCGCTGCTGGCCGGTCAGTGGGCGGGGCTGCCTCCACCCAGAGCCGGTGCGCCCCGGCTCGGCCGCTGCTGCCCCGTCAGTGGGCGGGCTGCCGCGCTAGGGCCGGTGCGTCCCGGCTCGGTCGCTGCTGGCCGGTCAGTGGGCGGGCTGCCGCTCTAGGGTCGGTGCGCCCCGGCTCGGTCGCTGTTGGCCGGTCAGTGGGCGGGACTGCCGCTCCAGGGCCGGTGCGCCCCGGCTCGGTCGCTGTTGGCTGGTCAGGTCGTCAGCCTGGCGACTTTGATGTGCTGGCGTATGCTTGTGAGGTACGGTGTGTTTATGTGTGACGCTCATATTAGTGGTCAACGGTACATGCTGAGAACGTTGATGGGTTCACTGCTGGTGGTAGTCGGTGGATGTTACACTCTTGTTTGGTGTCGTGACACGCAGGGATGGCCCATGGCCAGTGTTTCGGCACGCCGTGGTCGGTACGTAACGCCTGATGTGGATTCTTCCAGAGGGTGAGACGAGGATAAAGATCATCAAGTACGCCGAGGAGGCGCTGCTGCAGGCGAAGGAGCACGGCCTGATCAAGTCCAGGGACGAGGCCAACAGTGACGACGAGTGACGTCACCAGCCTTCGGTGACGTCAGCGCCGTCCGTGTCACGCTGTGCTAGTGACATCATCAGTCCCGTTTCCTGCGGTGGAGCGCGCCCGTCTGTCCCAGGCCCGCCAATGCAGCGCTGTGGCGGCCGGGGACCAGGTGGGGCTGGGTCGGACTTCGCCTGTCTTCCAGACCATCGCGCGTCGGTCCGAGACGGAGCGATGCCCGGCCGGTGTGACGTGTTTTGTACCCTGTAGGACATTGTGGCACGGTAATGTGCGGCTTCTAGTCATGGTGCGCTAGGCGCGCGTTGTTTGTGAGATTTGTACTAATCATTGAAGTCATCGGCGATCATGAATATACTAACCTAATCCTGTCTGGTATGGCGTTTTCATGTTTGCTATAATACACCGCATTATTGTTTGTTCGTGTTTATTTTTGTTTCAAATTTCGCTTAATAGGATCCCATGGCCTTTCGTTTCAAGGCGGTTTCTTCTGCCAAACATTGGTAATCTGGGATGCGACCGTTGGCGCTGGCGTAAAATGTGGGTCACACGTCTGGTTTACGCGATCGCATCTTTCCCCATGTTAAGAAAGAGATGTGCTCGGGGCGCTAGACATCCACGAGGTTTTGCGTGTTAGCCTGATTCTTGATCTCAAATGTGGAAGATGGTCTCAAATGATACCACGTGTTGAAATTTGTCACGCGTTTGTGTACACATCACAAGCAGACGTCGCCCGGCACCGCGTAAAACAAATCCTCTTGTACATTTCTTTTCAAATTGCTGAGTTGTTTGTGCACTGTTCAGTGGACATAGCAAATTTTTGAGTTGGTGACTGGTTTCACGACAAAGCTCGTGTTTGCGTCATACACCTACCGTAAATTTTTTGTCACTTAACCTTTGGCCAAGTAGTTTCCACACTTAGACACATTCCTTCTCTCAGCGGGCGTTAAATCATCAGTTCTCTCCTCTGCGTGTTTCGCTACCTCGCACGGCCCACCTCACCGCCCTCGGCCGACCAAGCACCCCGCGCATGAGCGATGGCCCTACTCTCAAGAGCACCGACGACGTTGTCTGCGTAGTGGACGTGTCGAACGAGGGCGCCGGCGGCCTGTGCTGGCTGCGCGCGCGCGGCCAGTGCCGCTTCTTCCACCGGCCGCTGCCGGCGGCGCTGTACGGCGCCACCAGCCAGGACTCGTGCCGCGCCGAGCTGGTCAACCTGGTGGCGGCGGCGCGCCTGTGGGCGGCCAGCTGGGCCGGCCGGCGCGTGCTGCTGCGCTGCGACCACCCGTGCGTGCGGCGCGGCCGGGCCGAGTCGCGCGGCCTCATGGAGGCGGCGCTGGAGCAGCTCAGCCGCCAGCACGGCTTCAGGTACCGGCTCGAGTGGAGCATCCGGCGCCACGATGGCCTGATGGAGGCGGCCGACGTGCTGTCGCGCCTGGACAAGCCGCACACCGCCGCCCAGCTCAGCGACGCTCTGTCAGCCATGGCCGGGGTGCTGGACGACGACGTGGAGACGCTCCAGCAGAGCGGACCCGGCGACGACCTGTACCGGATGTAACATCTGGTGGGCTAGGTCTGAGTCTGTGCTAGGCCAAAGGTCTGAGTGGCGATGCGATCTGTACCGGATGAGACTGCCGGTCTGAGCGACGATCTATGCCGGATGAGACTGCCTGTCAGGTTTGTCGATCTCAGGCAGTATGCCCCGGTTGCCGGTTGGAGCGCTGAAAGGCCGGTCCAGAGCGTGGATCGACCATAATCGCGGCGCCATGATAACCGAGTGGTTTCCATGAGTTGACACCGGCCCAAGCTGTGGTCCGAGGAACCTCCGGGTCCGACACGATATGTCGCGGTGCTGAACCGGCCAGCGGTAATGCTTGGTTGGCGACGGCAATATGAAATCGCGTATGTTTATAACGAAGCCTCCTGGCTACTTTCTCCGCCGCTTCCTGCGCACGATCATTTCGATCTCTCACCACAACGCGAAACTCCTCCGAACCCCAAATCTGAGAGTACTGCGTGCGTTTCGACCCGACCGATTTTCGTTTTCCTGTGCGATACAATAGACTGGCTACGATTTTCAACTGTTGGCGTCTCCATGCATACAGGATGTATGCGTTAAAGCACGTGCCGATAACATGAGCGCAACTGGTGCTGATATCGGCGCTTGTTCACTGTGGTGATGCGACCAATGCCCTAGAACGATGCAACTGACCTGTGACCAGTACTAGCATTCAGACAGGGCTAATCGTGATGACCTCGTGCCCTTTTTACTTTACGCTTTAAGTGAGATTTTTTCAGGTTTGGTCACGGAAAATATTAATAGTAACCCAGAGTAATATCCAGCCCATTACAGTCCTACCATTCAGTCCTATCGGAGAGAAACCTCACCGTTGAGTAACAGGTTGTCGTGATGAACTGCCCCATGCTCGCTGCCTCCACCCTTGATGGTGGTTACAACTCGTTTCGCTAGACGTGTAGCGTCACTGAGCTTAATCACGGCTGGCATATTTGGTCAGACCGTGTCGGGTTGTGGTGATACCATAGGATGGCTGGTTTGTGTTCCGGTCTCCTGTCGTGCGCAGAGGTTCCTCCTGCGTCAGGCCAGGCCGTGCCGCTCCTCGTCTGCTGCTGGTGACCTATCAGCCGCGAGCTTTCACGGCTCAGCTTGTGATAGCTCATAAGTTATGAGCTGTCACAGCTCAGCCACTGACGGGTGATCAGTCGTGAGCTGTTACGGCTCAGCCCCTGATGGGTGATCAGTCGCAAGCTATTACGGCTCAGCCGCTGATGGGTGATCGGTCATGAGCTGTCCAGCTCAGCCGCTGATGGGTGATCAGTCGTGAGCTATCATGATTCAGCTGCTGACAGCCGATCGGTCGTGAGCTATCACCGCCGCGAGCGGCCGACGGTCGCCGCAGCATCGAAACATCCGCCGTTCGTCCGTCCGTGATAGGCAGGCTGCTTGGGTCCGTCCGTCCGTCCAGGCACGAGGAACAGTCGTGTTTCAAGGGCCAGCGATGGAACACGCTACTGGCACCAGTTTTACGCCAACTCACTTTCCAGAATCAGTTTGGAGCCATATCCAATTGGAAGCGCTCTTGAGCGCTTGAGTTATTCACAGCATTGAAGAGATAGCTGTGATGATGGACCTTTTTGAAATGGCACATGACCAACACCGCGATTATATTGTATACACACACACACACACACACACACACACACATATATATATATATATATATATATATATATATATATATATATTAGTGGTTTGTGCCAAGTTATATGCGATCAGGCAATGCCCACACATGACACGCAAACACGCCGTTCCAAGGCCAGTTCTTGGCTGCCTAATCACAACACAGTTAAACAGCGAATACCCTTGTCACGCATCTGACTGGCCGTTGCCACCGGTTACTACCCGTGGCGTTCATGATGGGTCAGTTTCAGATGATCCCTACAGTCGATTTCGTTGGGGCGACACACCCGTTTGTACCTATGTATTACAGCCTGAGTAATTACCCACGTTTATAGCCATCAAGGAAATTGTAATTGCCAACGGCACATACGTTATCCAGAGCCACAGCCACATGTACACCAACGTGACAGATGCTTCAAAATTATGACCTGGCCAAGTGTAATTCCCCTTTCCCCCCCCCCCTGAGACTTCAGAGAAAACTCACCAAAGCGAAGGAAGGCTTCGGCGCACATTTCAAAACGGTGCAATGGAGCGAGTGTACTCAGACCCGACACGACGACTACGCGGACATTTTAATCATCGGGCCAATGGAACAGGAGGTACCTTAGTAGATGACAGCATACAACTTGCGAAAGCAGTACACCAGGGTAGAGTCAACTGAGACCGCTTGAATTTAAACTATCTCCTTACAATCAAGGTTAGCTTACAATGACCTGGCACGCGATAGCCCTAAAGGTGCATTTTGAATGGATTTTCGGTCATAGACCTTGCTCACAAATTCGACGAGTGCACAGACCACTACCAATGCTCATATTCCCGCACCGGCTGGCGAATTACCAGACACCTTCACGACGTCTTCAACAGACCTCTCCGGCTCGGTCAAAAAGAATTGCTCACCTCGGGTGCGGTTAGGGAGGAGTACACAGATTATTTAATAACTGCCGCCTACCTGGATGATGTGCATCTAGACTGACAATAGATAAGACTCACGAATCGCTACGCTGTTTGCACTGGCCTGGGTTTCTGACAAGAGTCGACTAAATGCAGCTGACTACTGCCTGCTCGTACCACCAACTAATCTCGTACACTTACTCAGGTGTGCAGCGTCCTAGTTACCATAAGTAGATGCCAGAGACAGACAAGGACACGCCATTGACATGACGCAACAAGCACCGACATAAACGACACAATACGAAACACGATATCCTTGATCCCATTCGATCATAAACCGGTACAGCTGATCTTCATGTAAACAATAGATCCCTGCAGCCGAAGCCAGGCCCGTAGACGCCGTGCAGCGCGCGCCCGCGCCCCACGAGCCCCGGCGTCAGAGGCGACCCCTCCCCTCCCCCGCGCCGGAGGCCGCCGGCAGGTCACGTGGAGCCGATCAGCGGCACCAGCTGCGGCACGGTGGCCAGGTAGCGCTGGTAGGCGGCCTCGGCGCCCCAGCGGCGCCGGCCGGCCGCCTCCAGCAGCGGCACGCCGCTCAGCCGGCTGATCAGCACGTAGTCGAACAGCGGGCAGAGCACCAGCAGGTGGCGCCAGCCGCTCCAGCCGGCCGACGCCGACACGTACAGGCCGAACCAGAGCAGCACCTCCCCGAAGTAGTTGGGGTGCCGGCTGAGCGACCACACACCGGTCGTGATGAAGCGGCCCTGGCGACCGGTAACTGGTCAGTGGGGAGCTGGCAGTGGGGGGCTGGCAGTGGGAGTGGCAGTGGGGAGCTGGCAGTGGGGAGTTGGCAGTGGGTGGCAGTGGGGAGCTGGCAGTGGGGAGTTGGCAGTGGGGAGCTGGCAGCGGGGAGTTGGCAGTGGGGAGTTGGCAGTGGGGAGCTGGCAGTGGGGAGTGGAGTGGCAGTGGGGAGTTGGCAGTGGGGAGCTGGCAGCGGGGAGTTGGCAGTGGGGAGTTGGCAGTGGGGAGCTGGCAGTGGGGAGCTGGCAGTGGGGAGCTGGCAGTGGGGAGATGGCAGTGGGGAGCTGGCAGTGGGGAGGTGGCAGTGGGGAGCTGGCAGTGGGGAGGTGGCAGTGGGGAGCTGGCAGTGGGGAGTTGGCGGTGGGGAGTTGGCAGTGGGGAGTTGGCAGTGGGGAGCTGGCAGTGGGGAGTTGGCAGTGGGAGTGGCAGTGGGGAGCTGGCAGTGGGGAGTTGGCAGTGGGGAGCTGGCAGTGGGGAGCTGGCAGTGGGGAGTTGGCAGTGGGGAGTGTTGGCAGTGGGGAGTTGGC